TGCATTCCAAAGTAAGACGGAACAGAAAGGTTTTTGGGGGTGGCAAGCAAACTCTCGCAGCTCAAACTTAACCAAACAGTCATACCGACTACGGACTCAAAAACCATCACTAAGTTGCCAACCATTTTTCCCACGCCTCTATGGAACACTATAAGACACGGTGCCATAGAAGACATGTCTGCAGCAAGACATGTCTGCAGCAGGACACAAGCAAGAAAAATCAAGGCATAATATCATACCTACCACAAGGCTGATAGAACACTCATGATATACCGGTAGTATGATATGATAGTGAGGGTTGTTATATCATGTATACATGTACTAGTACAGTACAGTATTCAACATCTCCCCCCCGCGCACGTGGGTAGTAACCACGGCACAGATCACGGCAAATCCCCAAGGACTACCGTACCGTACTTACAAGTACTTATGTGGCCAACGGTTTGGTGTTGAGCATGTACAGCACGTATATTTACAATGTCGGAGCACTACAGCACTCCAGCATTGTGGAAGTGAATGATCGGTCGTGGAATCACGCAAATTGTCCTACTCGGGTTAGAAGGGTTTATCAATTCTTGCACAAACATTGCTGATCTGAATTGAAAGCTCACGGAAGTATAATAATATGGTATTATACCCTAATAAAGTAATTACGCTCAGATAGCATGTTGCTCCCAATACTTTACCCCTGCCCTTGGGTACTCGTACAAGTACTTGTACTCGTACAGTGGGTTATGTCACTAAGATTCAACCAATCGGTAGCGAGTGTGGTCCGGGGGGGGAAGAGTGGGGAGGGGTTTCTAGGTGTTCCATTGTATCATGCTCGAATACGGTACCGCAATATCATACCACCCATCATCCTCCAGCAATTGAATCGGGCTACGGTGGTCTAGGGATCATATCCGATCATTTGGGATGGAGTTATCGGTAAGGTTATGATACTTCAACTCATCCCCACCTCCTATAAACCTATATAATATATATATATATTATTATGGATTTACACAATGTCTTCCAGTCCACCCATGGAAAGAAAAATAAAAAATAAAAAATAAAAAAAAAAAAAAAAAGTAGGGGGGGTCACAAACTTCCCCCTCCACAACTTCCATCCAGCAACCGTACTGCCGGTGCATCGTTATCACGAGGTGAGTTTCCCATACCGATAGTGTGTAACCTTGGTCGGGTTTTCAGTGATCGATTCTACAGTGCAGATCTCTACTCTATCCAAGGTGGTACTGTACTGTACGATACAGGATGGCAACTTGAATACTGTAGTAACTGCTCTTCTTGCATCATCACAGCGATAATACTCGTAAACCGTTGCAAGCACCATAGAAATCTAGGTAGCTCTTCCCGAAGCAAGCGAGGTCCCAATGGGATGATGTGAGTGCAGATATGATACGCCCGTGCTCACGCAAAGCCAGGATCCACTCTCTCTCTCACTGGTATTCACACTGAGGCATAAGTATATCAAAGACTGGACGTGTCCTGTCTTTGTGGTGTGTGTATGCAGATACGATACCGTAGCATTCAAATCGAGTCAGGAATATTTCAATTTCACTCATCACGCAGCTGTACAAGTACTGTACTTTACAGTACAGTACCTAAAGGCTTGTTAGGGGGTTGTACTGGTAGTGCAAACGATACAGATGCAAGATTCCTATCCCTATCTAACTATGATACAGCACTGTGCAGTACGGTGGGTTACGTCAAAACAGCTACACAGCCAAAGCAAAACAAAACCTACTCCCAAAGCACTTTAATTACAAGCATTCGGTGGGAGGTACGATAAACATCTACAGTATCATACAATACAATCTCCTTTATCGTTGGATTCCTATTAGGAAACAAATACATCAAGGGATCAATCAACTTCCCATTTCCATTTCCGTTCATGAACCCCACTCTCCTCCCTCCCTCTTTCCTTCTTCTCCACCCCCATCCATAAACCCCCAACCACCATATATCTTATACTATATCATATTTCTCCGTTCTGTCTCTTCCGGGGAGCAAAAAAGAAAAAACACCTCTAACCCAACCCACTACCAGCAACCCTCTCCTCGCAGAAAATTGCTGACTTCTCTTTACCTATCATACCTACATACACCCTTCACAAAAAAAAAAAGAAAAAAAAAAACATGAAGCCCCTTAACCATGAATAAATCCGCCTTTTGCACTGCCAATCAAGTTTTAATCTTGGAAAAGAAAATGAAAAAATGAAATGAAGAAAAAAAACCAATAAAAGAGGAGATAGAAAGAGGCCAAGTACGATAAGTCATCAACACACCCTATCCATGATCTTGCAACTTCATCTTCACCTTCGTCTCCTCTTTAAATAATGTACATCGCGAAGCGAACCGAATTGTAACAAAGAAAGAGAAAGGGGAGAAAAATAGCACACAAGGCATCACTAAAAAGTAGAGAAACAAAGCTTCATACTATAAGGTAAGAGTAAAAGGCGAAAAGTGAAAGTAGCCTAGGGGAAGAAGGAAAAAAGAAGGAAAAAATCACACCCATCATCCCTCCATTGCCCCGCGCTCAAGACTGCAGAGTAGCAATAAAATTATTAAGGTCGTACTCATCGTTATACTGTGAGTCATCCCAGAGTTCTCCGATACCGTCTAGAAGCTTCTTGCTGCCCTTAGTGATGACTTTACCGGTGGTGTCGTCGACCATGTCTTCCTCCGCTGCGGGTTTCGACGCGGTCTCCATGTCGCCGACGTTGAAAAGGTCGAGGATTTGGTCTGTTTCCATGGTTGCCAGGCCAGCATTTTGTTGGTTGACGACGGTGGATGCTACGTCTAATTTGAAGCGTTGAAGGCTGCAAGGTGATAATTAGTTATTGGCCACAACTCAAAGTATTAGGGGGCAAAGGACAAACCTCATGATCTTCTCTTCCAGCGTTCCGCGAGTAACAAGACGGTAGACATTCACAACCTTCTTCTGACCGATACGATGGGCACGGTCCATGGCTTGCATATCCTTCTGCGGATTCCAGTCATGTTCGACAAAAATGACGGTATCTGCTCCCGTCAAGTTGAGACCCAAACCTCCGACATGGGTGGTCAAGAGCAGAACGTCAATAGACGGATCACCATTGAATTTAGTAACGATATCTTGACGTTTTCGGGCCTCGGTACCACCATCCATTCTCAGGTAAGAAACACTTGGCAGAAGCTTCTTGAGAACATCATTCTCCACAATGTCCAACATCTCCTTAAGCTGGCAGAAGATGAGCGCACGGTGTTGACTGATAGCATTGGTCTCGGTTGGGTTTTCACTGCCAGCACCAGAATCCTCAATGCCGATCCCGCAATCGGTTAATAGATCCTTCAGCGCGCCTAATTTCGGCGCATGGATAGGGTCCCGAACGTTCGATTTGTCCTTTGCCAATTGCTTGCTCACCTTCTCAAACTGGGGGTGTTTCTCGTTGAGAACAAGGGCTGGGGAATTGCACAACTTTCGCATGTACTGTAGAGCCTGGAAGATGTGTTGCTTGGCCTGCTTGTCTCCCTCTTGACCAATCTCGGTTACAATCGTCTTGGACTGTTTCTTGGCAAAGTCATCGTAGAGCTTCTTCTGCAGTTCACTCAACTCGCAGTAGTAATTTTGAATAATCTTTGGCGGCAGGTCATCTAACACCTCCTCCTTCAGCCTTCGAAGCAGGAACGGTAATACCTGCTTGTGCAAAGCTTCGATAGCCAAAGCACCTGCCTCTTGCTCTTTGCTATTGCTCCGACTATTCCTACTTGCGGCGATCGGTTTGGCAAATCGATCCAAAAACACCTTTTCGGTGCCAAGGAAACCCGGCATGAGGAAGTCAAACAAAGACCATAGTTCCAGAACGTTATTCTGAATAGGTGTTCCAGACAAGATCAATCGATGGTTAGCCCGAACCCTCTTGACCGCTTGTGTCAACTTGGCCTTGGAATTCTTGATAATATGGCCCTCATCAAGGACGCAGTAGTTCCAATTATATTGACTGATATTGTCAATGTCGTTTCTGCAGATATCGTACGAAGTAATGACAATATCTGTAGTGCCAAGTTGACTGCGAACCCGAGCACGCTCCGTAGGACTACCGACATAGCACAAGGCAGTGAGGAACGGTGCGAACTGCGCGATCTCCTGTTGCCAATGGCCTGAAAGAGTAGGTGGACAAACGATAAGAGAAGGTATACGGCGCATATCAGGGTTTCCGGAAACTTTAAACTCCTCCGCACGAAGGTAATGATCACTGGCAATAATACAGATTGTTTGAAGTGTTTTCCCAAGACCCATATCTGTGAAACCGTCGGTCAACAATCCCAAAAGTAATGATCTTTCAAAACTCACCATCGCAAAGAATTCCATGAAGCTTGAATTTGTTCAAGAAAGCAAGCCAATTGACACCTTCTTGTTGGTAGGATCTCAATGTAGCTTTAATCGTAACAGGTAATTCAAAGGGCTCAACCTTGTGAATATCAAGCATTTGCGAAATGAACTTCCGCTCAGTTGCCCTGCCTTCCAAAAGCTCGGCTGGTAACCCAACGGGATCAGGAATACCGGCCTCCAAAGGAACTAGCTTAACAAGCGTGGCAAATGCCGTAGTAGCAATAAGACGCACATCATTGTCAGGATCGCTCATCCTACCCAAAACGGGTACAATCAAGAACACAACGTAAGGGAGAATATCAGTCTCCATCACATGAATCAAATCTACTAAAATTAGCCAACCTGTACCCCCACCATACCTCCGGAAAGGAACCTACGGTAAACACATTCTATAGACCCTTGGCGACATTTCAAATCATGCGCGTTATCAAACATCTTGAGGACCTGCTGCACTAGCGCCGTCATCCCAGGAATAGTTATGACACTGCAAATAGTTGCAAAACACTTCGCGGCGGCATATCGTAAAACCGTAAAGTGTGATTGGAGTGCTTTGATGATCAATGGGAAGAGTCCAATTATCTGAAAGCAAAGTTAGCTTTCGGTTACAAACACTAAGTAAGGAAACCTACCGTAGGATATAGATCTGGATGGAACCGAGGAAGAAGTGCACGAATGGTTGATAATCCGTCAACAACTTCTTGGCCCAGAGTAACATTAGGGTCCTTGATATCCATCGGCAAGTCACCACCAAAGGCAATATGAAGTGGTGTTTCAATGCAGTCCCTAAGTTTTGGTACCGCCTCAAACAATGAAGCCCCAAAGGTAGTCGCAAGCTGCTCGAGGGCCTCTTTAGCCCCTCTCCTCTTAATCTTTGCCTCCTTAGCCTCTCGTTCAAAATCAGCCTGATTAGTGTGATCTTTGAGGTCTTCCTCCTTCCGGAGAGAGAGTATGTTATCCTCTAGATCCTCAAGTTGGTGAAATATTGGCACTTCGGAGACATCCAGACAAAGAAAAGAGTTGAGATTCTTAGTCAGTTTGTCCGCAACAGCTATACGACCGCTCCGAGAACAGATACCCACAAGTGCAGCTATCGATAGCGCAGACCGCCGTTGTAGATCAACGTTCTCCTCCAATTTAACGCTTTCCATCACGCCATGTACAACTGGATTAAGCTTCTTCGGGAGCTGGCCGGAAGCTATATACGCCCCAGCAGCTGCTGCCAAGACCCGGACATCACGTTGCGCCTTTGCAGCCTTGGCTTCTTCAACAGCTGCCACGGCAACTCCCTTAGCATCAGCAAGGGCCTGCGATGACATGAGTTTCTGAGTTGGACCCAAAGCCCGCTTCAACCGAGCAAACTCATCGCCAACAATCTTCTCCGCCTTCTCAATACTAAATGCATCGGGACCCGCTTCCGACTCCCCTTGACATACCGCAGCGATAGTAGGAATTCTCGAGGATGGCACTTTACCAATGTCGCGGAAAGCATTAAGCAAGGATCGACATTGAGCTTGTACAACGTGCATATAAGACACAAGGTCACGGTAACAGGAAGGCCTCTCCGAATTAAGAAAGTTAGTAAGGGCCGCCAAGAATTGTGCTTTCAAATCTGTAACCTCGGAGGTTATCCTTGCATATTCCTCAAATATCATTGCCGTCACCAATTGAGTCGTAGAGTGGGGTGACTGTAATAGCGGAACAAGCCGAGGTTCGAAAGCGCGGATAGCATCTTCTCTTGGCCACAGGCTAATGGCTTTACCCAAAGCTGTCGCACCAGCAATCTTAGTCTTAATAATTGTCTCCACACCCACAAGGTCGACATCACCATGTATCATGTGGCCATCAACATTATGCGGCGACGCAGTAGGCTCTTCCTTCTTTTCACTCTTGCGACGCCGCTTGGTCGCAGGCTCTTGTGCCGGTTGTGAGGGCGAAGGGCCTCTCATCAGGCCCGGAAGAACCATAGTTTGCCCGGAAGGTCGAATAAACAAGGAAGGATCCATGGGCTGTGGGTGGCGCGAAACACCAACAGGAGTCGTGAGCAGAGTAAGCAATGGATCCAGGTGAGGACCAAACTCGGTGGCGAAACGAGCAGGGTTATCCCGTGCAAGCTCCTCGGTCAATGCCATCCATACTTGTAACGACAGAGATAGCACAGACTAGACATCGTTAGACACCCACTATCAAAGGCAAAACACACCACTTACCTCTACTCTTTCAACAAGCAAATTCTGGAAAATGAGTCGTAAAATTTTGCCATCAACCCAGCCCTTTGTCCCATCGCCTTGAATATTCAAGAACGTCAGAAGCGCCCGCAAAACAGCAGCCCGCACACTTGTGATAGTATGACGTAAGAACGGATAAAGCCGAGGAACGAGCAAGGCGAATGATTGCCTATGACCGATTAGTAACAATAACACAAAGCTAAATTCGAAAACTTGCGATGGATCTGTCGAAGCTTTAATCCTCATAGCTTCTAGAACTTGGGGGAATGAGCATAGTTTAGCTAACAGGTCCATAACAGATCCAGTACTAGCGCTAAGATCGTCTTTAAGATGCGAAAGGCATCCCCAGACAACATTAATTAACCCATCCACAGCATTTGGTCGCAAAGATATGAACTCTGCGGCTATAGGGATCAAGGTAGCAGCACTAACGGCTCTAACATCATCGTCCTGATCTCCCAGTCCCTTCATGACTGCTCTAACTACACCATCCAATAGTTCATTGTCTTTCATCAATAAATCTGTTCGGACCGCAACCAGATACTTCAACCCCAACATTCCGCCATGGCAGACTTCCCATATGGGCAGCGTAAGGTTGAGATCCTCCTGCATTACCAGGCGATACAAAACCCGATAGACGGCATGAACAGATGGTGGTGGGAGGTGAATAAGCAATGCGCCCATTGTTTGTGAGGTTGATTCACGAATTGGAGCAACAACCTATATATCATCAGCATTCAACCTACAAAGCCAGGCTGGGGGAGGGTCACATACAGTGTCAGCCACATAATCGCCGAAACGATCCAGCATGAAAATACAACAAAGACGACACGCTAGATCATCGAGCCATTTCCGGTTCAGGGCGTTATTCTCTTTACGAGATTTACCCCACTCCCTCCCGGCTCCAGCGCCATGGACTCTCACTACTTCACGAATTCCCATCGCCGCGCCATGTCGAATCTCCCAATTAGGGTCGAACATATCTACTAGTAACAACTCGCAAAGGCGCTCGAATGGCCACTCAAATCCTTCCCCAGACGTTTGAATAATTGGAGACGGTGGAGCCTTGGGGCCTGTGAACTCGACAGCAATCTTAGTCTCATCTGGAGGGCCTTTGGTATCCAATGAAAAATAGTCCGCAACCTTAACCCCATTGCTCTCCTGTTTGATAGGGTGCGGCGTCGGTTCAACGGGTGTTTGCGGCACATCCACGCTCATCCTACGGACAGATGATGCCCCCAAATCTACCACACGAACCTTGTTTGCCTGATTCCTGGCGTCAAGCTTCTTCTTTCGCTTAAGCGCATTCTGCTGCCTTCTACTCAATCCACTAGCGGATTCATCATTTGGCGTGCCGGGAACGCCGGAATGGGGAGACATTGCAGATTGTAAGGCCGGCGATGCCATAGGCTGACGGAAGGTTCCTCCAACAGAAGTGTCAATACGAGGCGTCTGCACCGTGTGGCCAACAGTTGCGAAATCCCTCTCGCTAACAATCTCCTCATCCATATACTCTCCACCAAGGCCGAGCCTTGCCGTGACATTCTTTTTTTGTGCAGCCAAACGTTCTGCTGGGTCCAAGTCCGCTAAAGTGTAATCATACTCCTTGCCGGAGCTCCCAAGCAACCGTTTGCCCTTCCTGATTACCGCAGCGATGTCCAACGTGTCAAAGTTCAACACATCATCGGCCCCTGCGGGAGGAAGGCCACTCTCTACCCCAAGCAACGCTACGCCCATCAAAACTCCAAGGCCTTCCTCATCCTCATCCTCTTTCTCCAGTTTCATCGGATCGTCAAACGCATTAGGATCCCACCTATCGGCATTCTCAATAATGCCCGATATGGCTTTTATAGCAGCCGCCCTAGTATCCCAATTCTTCGAACGCAGGTATGGAACGATTCGATTCAGTAAGTTAAAGAGTTCATCAGGATGAGCCTTCTGGACATCAGCGAGCTGGCTGGCAGCGGTGTTGCGCACCAACTGCGTCGAGCCGGAGTCGAGGAGTCTAATTTCCACAAACAGTCAGCAAAGACAGAATCCATAAGTTTGGAATCGAAAGAATTAAAATTAAAAAAGAAGAAGAAACAATCGCAAACGCTAACGCAAACAGTTGCAAATTCACACATGGGCTGTTTGATAACCTGCCCGTGCAATGCAGGTAGGCAGGCTGACAGACAGACAAGAAGAAAAAGACGTAGGACAATGGAAATAAAATACCAAAGTATGACAGGAAAAGAGGGGGGGGGGGGTAAAACTCACGTTACAAGTCGATCTAGTCTATAATACGCAAGGAAAGCGATCAAATCATATAGGGAATTCGTTAGTTCTTGGACATCGATAGTGGACTCTGCCAACCGTATGATCCGCGTAGCCTGCTGTTGCAGTTGCAGCAGCTGTGTGAGAATCACGTGAGGTGATTATTTTCTTGACGGTGGAAGGGATTTGGGGGTGGGGGTGGGAGCGGGGGGGGTGAGAAGGATATTTGGGGGAGATCTCTCTTACCTTGACATATTCTAGGCAACAAGGACCATAGTGGGAAAAAGTCAATTATTAAAAAGGAAATGGTGTGTGATGTGTGGTGAGTTGAGGCAGTTGAATTTGGTGGTATGGGGTGAAATAAGAAAACACAACCTTGGCGCGAGGCTACGAGTACTATTATTATTTGCACGAGCGGCGACGGGAAGGGGGCGCGACGGGGTTGACCAAAGGGCCCGAACACACGGGGGGGGGGCTGCAAGTTGTCCAATCAGGGCTCAGGGTAAGTAAATTCTCCAAGCACGGTCAACAACAACGGCTGAGGTTGATATAGGTTGGGCCGGCTGGCTGGGTTGGCAAAGCAAGCAAGCAAGCAAGCAAGCAGGTACAGCAGCAGTAAGACGAGGGGGGAAGATATCGGTAAAATGTTCGAACGGGCGGGTGAGCGGGGACAACGGTAGGTTTTTAAGGGGGCTCTGTTTGGTGTTTTGGTGTAATTTCTTGGCAGACCAGGGGTGGTAGTAAACTTCTTTCGACCTAAGGCTGGGATGATTTTTTGTGCTTGGTGGGTGGGCGGGGGGGGGGTGGAAGACGGAAATCTGTGAAAGGCTCAGGACCTTTTTGGTTGGAAGGCCAACAGAAAAAAGAAAAGAAAAAAAGCCCAGAGCGAAAAGGGTTTGACGGAAAGAAAGTAAAAAAGATGACGGAAAATAAAAAAATAAAAAGGAATGGAGAGACGAGGAATAAAATATAGAATCCCGAGAAGAAAAAAGTAATTACCGAAAATAAAATAGAAAGAAGAAAAGGTACGGGAAAGAAGACTTATAGTAAGACCGGGAATGAATAGAAAATAAAATAAAAACTCAATAAAAAAGGCTTCACGGGTCCAGAAAAACCGGTACTCGAATGCTGCAGATTTCTGCGTGAAGCTTTCGATTTCTGAAGATTCAGACTGGGTTACTTCCTCCCCTTTTAATGTATCTCTCGTTGGAATCACTGCAGACTAACCCACCCCCAATGACAACCTTCTTTTTTCTTTTTTTCTTGCCAAGACACGCTAAACCTCTTTCCCTATGCTTACACGGTGACGCGCCCCCTAGCGAATTGCCAGAGCCTCTCTTGCAGCGAGCAGCATCAAGGGCATGTGCCCTTTCACTACCCCCTCCACGGACACATCGGAGCCCATGGGAATCGGTAGGGTAACATACATTCTAACCCGGTTCGCCCAGCCGTCCAACCGAACGAGGGTAACCGATCACTTCCATTGACCAACCTTCCTCGTAAGGGTCATCACAAAGGTACAGTATGATACATAAGCAGAAATGCAGAGAGAAAGGAGAGAAGCTCAACATTGTGCCCGCGGGCAGCATGATGACTTAAATCAAGACGCACGGGCCCTATGGAAAGCTCCATACCGGTACTTGTAGCCTAGTACCGAGACCCCACTCCAATGTTTGCTGGGAGCGGGAAATATAGAAAGAAGAAAAAACAAGTGGCCCCAATTCTTAGGCGGCCAAGAACATACCGGTACCGATTATTATAGTATCATACAATCAGAGTTCAAGCTCGGATTGCGGCTGCACGGGGGTTTTTCCCCTTCTACCCTGTCATTCAATTCGACACAATGCCCAAGGGCTTAACGAGACGATGGAACCCGATTGATTTGGACTCGGATACGAATGGCTCAGATCTTATGCGCCCAACCGTCTGCCCTATCGAATTCCCCGGACCTAACCACGAGTGCTCGTGCAATGCCGACACCAGTGCGCCAGGGGTTCTCCAAAAAATAAAATTGTGTTTCCTGGGTGACAACCCGTGAACTTGTGGATAAACATTACGAGTAGTCTAAACGACCCACCTCGTACAGTGCCTTCTTCACCCCGTTATATCATGGTGGGGAGAAACTCTTTAACCGGAGAACCTCCAACCCCGAAAAATACCCAACTTCAAGCTACCGAGGCACCCCTACTAAAAATTTGTTATCCTTCTTTGAATTTTGCGATAGATAATAACTTTCGGGGGAGGTGGAAGAAGTTTGTAGATGCCGGCAGGAGTGGGGGATCCGAATGTCACCCTCCGGTTTTTTATGGATAGCTGCTCGATTTGCCAAGAAATATGAATCAGCACACAGGCGGAATTGGACCAGAAATAATCATGTATTACTAAGCAGAATGGTGGGTGGTTTGAGGTCCTCGGGTTCAAGATATCATAGCCTATCCCCCACCATAAATAACATACGGGCACCGGCACATTAACATGCTTAGCCACCTTGAAAAAAACCACCAGGAACCTGACCCTGCTTATTTTTTTTTTTCTATTTCCATGATATGATACCACATTACTGAATTGAGCTGATAGCCCGGAATTTGGAAACCCACTGATGACCGAAATGTGCTGGTGCTATACTTTACCCTCCCATAAGGCTTGACAACCACCCTGATTTACACAGCATTTGTCACAGCCTCGTAACGAGAAGCTTTTCTTTTTTCCAGGTTCCACAGAGTAAAACAAACCATTGATACTGCATATTGTAAGCCTTCACGGCCATGAATTCCTTGGAAAGTTTTTTTCGAAGTGTCGGAGCCTTTCGATAATTAATTATTCCTCAAGAGGGAAGTAATGCACACCATCAGGTTCGCACATGTCTCGATGGGGGCTATTGCACACTCCATATCATGACGCCCATCTTTAGAAGGCTGCCCACTCACTGTAAACACCCGTTTAACCACCAGTGCTGTGCCCTACTGTTCATACTCGCACTTCCGGCTGATAACTCAGGCTCGATGGCGCCGCGCTACCAAATTCTGGCGACGGGGAATTCGCGTTGAAGGGATGAGCATTGCGGGGTTTGGCCCTATTCCCGGTGTCTCGGGAGATCTCCATCAACGGGCATCTTGCATTCTCCAGCAACTCTTTCAGAGTACTGTGGGTAAGCGCATGCATGTTGGCCAACTTATCCAATTGATGATCCAAATCGAGGGGCTCGATTTCTTCCACAAGCGCTTTTGAAATAGCGCGCGTGAACGGCTATTTCGAAAGCGTCAATCCCGGGCATGCCGAATATAGAGCGGAATCAATACCGGCATCGGTCTCCAACGATGGCCCCTCCCCCCCGCGGGTATAATGAATGTTTCAAAGGTGTATATGTAAAGAGGGGTACCATATCCACCCAACCCTCAGCAAACAAATATCCAGCGGTACCGGTACTGCCACTACTACAACTGCCGTACCGCCCGATACACTGCGGGGAAGAAGAAAGGAAGACTGGCACACACAGCGATAACCCTATTAGAATGCAGTATCGAGCCAGTAGGTAAACACTGTCGAGCTTAGGACCTTCTGCCCGGGGACAAAACTCTCCCCCTCCGCGTGACATATGGTGCAAGCGGGCTAGTAAATCATTGACTGTCACTCGATATTAAATGTGAGAGAGGTGGGCGTGAATCTTAAATTGTTCGGAATTAATAATGATCAAGGGAGAAGCCATCCCTGTACATCTCCATAGTTCCGATATCAATGCAAATCCTTTGCCCCCCTGGATGATCTTCCTATGGTATTCGGGTGTGGGGCTCTCTGTACCTCCACAACCAACCTTGACAGCATATGCTTGCTCGCATCGGAGCCGTTCAGACTCGGGTATATTCCAACAGGTCGATAGGGCTCCTCCGCGGGGTAATCTATAACGCCCCCTGCACCCCGCCTCTTCCACCCTCTTCCAATCCGGGACCAGTAGACCAAGCCTCTCTCCCTCACACACACACACACTCTGCCGGGTCACTGGAGATCATGCATAATCACTCGCATTTCGGTGTTTAATTTTGGTCTTTGCCGGGGAAAGTACTCGAGTATTGAGCTACGGTACAGTACTGTATCGTTGCGGTCGCGATATAGTCTATCCACGGAGCTGCACAGCTCCGAAACCCCCATGGTATGGTGAGTTACCTCTTAGTCTATACCATTCTGAACCAACCCATTACGGTACTCGAGTACATATAGCCTGATGTTTCTACCTAGACTTACACCCTCGGGGAAAGACCGCACATGCATGAAGTCAGGCCGAATCAGGAGCGCAGCTGGGGGGTGAGCTCGGAGCCATCCGATCGAATAGGATACCGCCGTTTTTTACATTTCATTTCAACTGCCCGACCGGGTAAATGTATCGTGATATGTGCTGGTCGAAAAAACAAAGTACAGTGGACAGGACAAGCATTTGTTGTCACCGATCATGAAATACTGTATTGACGATCCCTCCATCCAGAGGATTTTGTTTGGGGGGTTTTTTTTTGTTCCTTTTTTCATTTTCATTCTTATTTCCTAAGCGCTCGTCATGTGATCGATGATGAGTGGGTGGAGTGATGCAAAAGAGGAGGAGAAAGGAAGAGAAGCGAGCGGAAGAGAATTGGACGACTCGTGGTGTTTATTCTGTCTACCGGTATCTTGGTTGCGGCTGACGAGTGACACGAGCGACTGACCCTTGAGATGTGAAACACGGCGGGTGGGGTGATGGAGCTGGGGGAGGAAGAGGGAAACAATGCATGGTATACAGCTGTCTGGCTCATCCCCCCCACTTTGGTACGGTACTGTACCCTCCGCTGCACCGGTATTTTACCGCGTTGTGGGAGGATTTTGTTCAAATGAAGGGGGTTTATGATTACAGTACTACACTCTGCTGCACCGAGGATACGAGCATCTTTGGCGGCGAAGGCAGGCAGACAAAACTTCTACCGGTATTGTCGTTCCAGCAGTTGTGCTTAGCGCTTGTACAGTACTCCAGGCACTTAAAAATTAATTAAGGTGGGCAGACGATATCCCAGAAGGTATGACCTAGCACCCGTATACTGCACAGACACTATATATATAATACCTATCGGTTGCTAGTACTCCGCCACTTTGTTCCCGTGGCATGGAGAGACCAGTTCCGAAGAATCAGGATTCGCCTACTCGTCCTTTCTGCAGGAATTCTGTCAGAAGTAACCCGTATTATGGTACACGATGCTCTTATGTATAAAATCGTGCATGGGGGGGAGGAGTAAGAGAGAGAAAAAGAAATTAGTCCTTCTGTAGAAAGTCTTTGGATATTGAAATCCGAGATTCGCGTGTCTTGGAGGCATGAGTATTGGTGCCGGTAATCCACAGCAAAGCGAGAACACGGTGACTCGGGAACGTCCATACAACGTTTATTGGGCGGGAGTTATTTGCATGATATGGGAATTCTCACTATGCTGGTGCGGTGGGCTCTTTGCCATGGAATACCGGTATTCGAGTACAATACAGTACAGCACTGTAGCTGGATGATGATGAGAGTGGTCTGTAGAGGTAGAGTTTGTATGGTCACCGGCTGGCAGCGAACACTGGCGACAACGTCAACAAGGAGAAGTCGCAGGTCGACCGAAAACCTTGCCTCCTGCCTCCCCCACACACCTCAACCACCCCCCCCTCCCTAGAAGAAAAAAAAAAAAGGCCAGCCGACTCATCCACACATTCACCTCCACATACCCGTCCCTCGTCTCGTGTGCTTGTCCCCTTTGGCCTTATTTCACTCCTGGTGCCTCTACCATACCGAGGGTCTCTCCCCTAGACTTCTGATCCGCTCTCTTCGGACCCTTTTGCTGCTCAGACAGGAGATAATCCAAAGATATCCCGACATTCCCTGCCGTATCCTCCATCTTTCAGACTCGACCACTACTCGCCCTGTGCAGCTCTATTGGTACTCCTTTGCGATTGGTCGTCAAACGGACCTCCAACGCCCAGCAAAAGCAGTCCGAGGCATATATGGCTGCGCCAACCTACAGTCACCCTTCACATCCGCAGACCTTCCATGGATCAGCGATAGCCGCTGCTCCAAACATTCCAGCGGGCACATTTCTGCCAGGAACACTGATTACAGTTGGCTCCCACAAATGCACAATAGATCGCTATCTATCTGAAGGCTGGTCTTGCTTTTCTGTCTCAACTTCCCAGATCATCACCCCCCTGCACCCGGTTCTTTTTATTATTATTATTATTATCATTATTATTTACTGATCTTTTAACTGGGTCACTAGGCGGGTTTGCTCATGTATACCTCGTTCGACTTTCGAGGCCCGTGGATGGATTGGATGTGGCTGTTTTGAAGCGGGTTGCTGTTCCCGATAAGGAGGCTCTTGCTAGTATGAGGACTGAGGTGGAGACAATGGTTCGTCCTGAAGCTTTGGTTTTTCCCCGGGTATACGTCTGAAACATGGATTATTAGAAGCGACTAAAAGGTCATCGGCACATTGTTACCTACATCGACTCACACGCATCGCATTTGAAAGGCGGCGGATATGAGGTGTTTTTATTGATGGAGTATTGTGCAGGTATGGGCCAATGCTCAGTCTTTTTTTTTTGGGGGGGGGGGGCGGATGGGATTGCTGACTGGTTTCTGCATAGGAGGGGGGTTGATTGATTTCATGAATACTCGATTGCAGAATCGGCTTACGGAACCCGAGGTCCTCAAGATTTTCGACGACGTGGCAGAAGGTGTTGCTTGTATGCACTACCTCCAACCTCCACTTCTCCATCGGGACTTGAAGGTGGAGAATGTTTTGATAGCTTCGCATCGGGGATATAAGTTGTGCGATTTTGGATCTTGTGCACCTGTCCGAGCTGCTCCGCAATCGGTCACAGAATGCCGATTGATGGAGGAGGATATTCAGAAGCATACAACTCTTCAATACCGGTCTCCGGAAATGGTCGATGTATATCGGAAGTTACCAATTGATGAGAAGTCAGATATATGGGCACTTGGCGTTCTTTTGTACAAGCTCTGCTACTACACGACGCCATTCGAAGACCAAGGGCAGCTGGCAATTCTAAATGCTTCCTTCAAGTTTCCTTCGTACCCTCCTTTCTCAGACCGCATTAAGAAGCTTGTTGGTTAGTATGCAGTTCGTATTTATTTAATCGGCCCTAAACTAACGGGTTTAGGGTCAATGCTCCGTGAATCGCCTCAGCTGCGGCCCAATATATATCAGGTTGTCCGGGAAGTGTGCTTGATGCGTGGAAAGGAAATACCAATTAAAGATGTCAGCTCCCCGGCCCACTCAAATTGAAATTGAAGCTAACTGGCCTAGATCTATTCCGATCGTGCCGCACAGAAGGTTAAATCAGTCGAGAAGCCAGTGCTCCCTGTTCAACTGCCCCCCAGCATTGTTGCATATCAGGCACCTCTTCCACCGCAGAGTCAAGCCATTCCCGATATCACTCCCATGAGACGTGGAAGGCCAACTAAAAGCCCGGCAGTGCATTCTGCCGCTACTTCTAGGACCAGAGTAGCAGATCCGTCGCCACAAATGAGGCCGATATCTACAGATCCATTTGCTGCTCTGGATTCGGGTCCTCCGGAAGCTAACCAAGATGAACTCTCGAATCGGTTCCCTAGTGTGGAGCAATTCTCTTTGCTGCATGACTACGGAAGTAAGTTTGAATTTAGTGAATTGTCACCTTCGGCACCGGAAGCCCCGAAAAAGGATCTCAATACTAGATTGACAGAGAGGTTGGCAGATGACGCTTTTGCGCCTACGACTCAGCCTTCTCCACTAAAGCTGGCGAGCGCAAAGTTTCCAGAAAGCGTGTCACGGGGTGTCACCGGGAGTGGGATGTCGGGATGGCCAACTCTTTCGGAGCCTCAGCCTACCCGGCCTCCCATGATTTCTACTGGTACGATGACTTCCCCAGCGTCTTCTAGATCGCCATCTCCGGTCGGGCCTACTAGTAGTAGGCCGTTGGAGCAAGGTTCGCAAGCCTTGCCTGCAGCGTCTCGACTTAAACCACGAAGGCCATCCGTACTCGATATAGGCCGCTCCCTAGCACATACGCATACAGTGGCTATGTCCAGGACTCCTAGTTCCTCGAGACAATCCCTCGAGATCCATCGTCCGGCATCTGCTCTTGATGTTGCTAGTCCAAATGCTATGAATCGTTCTGTATCCGCAAACTCCAAACCACGGCCGACTAGTGTTTACATCGATTCTAACCTAGAGTTCCTCCGAGATTTGGATTCTGCCACTACCCAGGCTAGTATGGGGCCACCAACTAGTACCTTTGTACAGCGGAGTATAACTGGGCAATCCATAAATTCTCAGCGTTCCGAGCATATCGAATCTAATGTAGATTACCTCCGAGTAATGGAGACTGAATCTGATGCTAAGCCAGAAAAGCGTAGTTCAAGCGGAGGATTTGTTGGGAAACATGTCAAACGCGCTAGCATGCCTTCAATATCACTCCCGAATACCAAGAGCCTCCTGGTCGGCAAATTTGGTGATGCGTTCCGGAGATTCGAGCGTAATACCACTGGCGGCGCGGGAGGAGGGGATCGTCATGACAGAGACCATACCCCCAGCCCTAACATGGACCATGCGTTAATGCCGACCATTAGCGGAAGCCAAGCAACTTCGGAAATTGGTGATGATTGGGAGGTTAGCAGTCAGGACGTGCCGCCAGAGATGAAGAGGGAGCTGGAGAAACGCCGACTGTCGCAGGAGGAAAGGAGGGTGGCTGATGCGGCGGCGGAATACAAGCGGCAGGTGGCCGATCGTGTTCCTGGTGAAGGGAGCTCCGGGAGACCCTCGAGTTCAAGAAGCAGAGCAAATTCGATCCAGAACAAGGTTAAAGCGCTCCTCAGTGAAAATCACCGTGCTCCAGCTCCTAAGACGGCGGAGGGCTATGGCCGATTCACTGACGTTCAACAGCACCAACAAGCGTATCCCGTCGACCGGGCCGGGGGCCGGGTGGGGGTTTCCGAGAAACCTAAGGTGGATGGGCATATTCGAACTAAGCAGTACTATAGGGATGGGGGAAGCAACGCCTATCGACCGGGTGCTTCTGATACTTCACGGGCCAAAGAACCTACCATAGAGATTAGACCGGTCTCTAGCTCCTCTGGCGGCAGTAGAGTCCTCCGGAAACCCATCGCTCTGTTACCCAACACCGCCACGTCCATATTATCAACTTCCCCAACCTCAGCAAGCCGCCCGGATCCACCTCCAAAACCGACGAAACTCCGCGGTAGCTCGCCGGTCCTACCACCACAAATTTCCCAGCAACAACAGCAAAGAAATAGCGAGGGGGGTATGAAGGGCAACGACGGAGCAGACGAAGACTGGCAGAGAAACTTTGCAAAGCGATACCCCAGCCTGTCCGGTCTAGAGCTTGTGGAAACGGTGGTTGGGCCCGGGCGGAAGGTCTAGCTCGATGTTGGGCTGGGTGCGGCATTGTAATATATCCTCAGTTCTCTCTTACACACACACTCCAATGCGGCGGTAGGGTGGGTGAGAAGGAAGGAAGAGGGAAATTAAAGCCTTTGTTTATCACATTTAAGGGTTTTTTCGTTTCTTTTCCATTGCCTTGCAGTTTTCTGTTTTCGTCCCCTTTCTTTTACCATTATCGTTGCCACGCACTCCATTAAAACTTAGCCAAAAATGATATCCTGGGAGGTATTATTCTAGTATGGTATTTCCTCTTTATTTTTATATATATTTCCCTTTTCTGTTCATTTGTAGCACGAGTCTGCCTCTCGGTCAGTCTGTTCATCAGCAGTCATGGCATTGCTTCTCTCCTTTCCCGGCTCGTTTGCACTTATGATACTTCACCTACCTAGATAAACCCCCCCCCACCCCCCCCCGTCGTCATGTACGTTTTATGTTGATTTTGTGCGACGATTATTCACTATAGATGTTTAGCTGTTCTGTTCATTTTCTTTCCTTCTCTCCTTCGTTACATTACCTGAATGAATGTTTCGTGTTATGCTTGTTATTGTTGCGTTGGTGAGGGCGTGATATGAATTTTTCCTCTCGAAATTATTGGTTCATGGGGTGTCACTCGGCTAGTGGGTTGGCTGGATTGTTTGGGTGCGGAGCGACAGGTGTGGGAGGGACTGGGTTTCCCTGTGTTGGGTTGTATCTGGGGGGGGGGGGCATGCTTACGCTGCAGTGTGCTGGTGCAGTCTCTGCTTGCCGCGTTTGCCTTGAGTTTACGATCTGTGGGGATGATGTGGAAGAGGGGGGGGTTAATGAATGGATGGATGGATAGCTTAAGCTATGATACTCGGATATTATAGGTGTTTGTAATGAACAAAGACCTAGTCGCAGAATTTTTTAGAAAAAGTGATGGTAATAGTGGGCTAACTTGATAGGATGAAGAAAAGGCTATAATAAGTACTAAATACACTCCCCTCCGCTCCGCCCTACCACCTCCCCTGCAAGAGTCCAAGCTAAATAAAGCTAGAGGACAATTCTGATTCACCCGACCGACCGACCACATAGTCAATTACAGGGAGCAATGAGGAATTTGGAGGGAGAAAACAAATAAAAAACGGTCGAAATCTATAATTCCTCTTCAGTCTCACCGTCCGTGATGTACTCAAAGTCCTCTGGTGGCGGGGCATCCTCGTCACCTTCGTCGTCCTCTGCGTTAAGCACGTTGACTGCTGCTGCAGCGCCACCGGTGCCCGGGCCGTCATTGATGGAGCCGACGGTGTGGCCGGGGCCGGTCGCTGTGGGCGCAGTCGCTTTGCGAGCTTTGAGTTCCATAAGCCTTATGGGCTCGCTTGGGGTGCGGTCAAGGAGAAGGAGGATACCGCCGGTTGGCTGTATATATGTTAGTTTCCGCATTTGCAAGGGGAATGTTATAAGAAAGGTACCTTCTTTACGGGCTCATATCTGCCGTCACTGATAAAACTAATATACTTTAGTTGCTCTGGAAGGACTCGAGACATGTTTCCGAGTTCGTAGCCAACTTTTTCCTTCTCTGCTCGCTTCTTTTTTTCGCCTTCTTCTCTTTTTTCACCCTCGCCTTCACCTTCTTTCCGTTCGGCGGAGTCATCTTCAAGATCCATCTTATCGTCGCCCTCTGCTATGGGCCCTGGAGTTACAGGTGTGGAGACGGTATGATCTGTCTCCATGGCATCTTCGCCCTTGGCGGCAGCCTCCTTCGCAGCCTTCTCCTTCTCAGATCGCTTGGCACGTTGACGGGCCTTTACCGTAGTTGATAGAACTGCAGTTGCTATTTTCTCGGGGGCTTTCTCGGCTGATTCCTCGACCTTTGGTGGGTAGTCGAAGAGTGACGGCCTGGTGTTTGACCAGAATTTGAAATCGGGCACCTATACGATAGTGAGTTGACCCGTTATAAAAATACATGTCGAAAAGGCCTACTAACGTTCAATTCATCGTCCAAACCAATTAAACCAGTTGGCATAAAGCTCAAGCTCAAGAAATGCGTCAATGGGAACCAGTACCAATATTGCGTGAAGACAGCCATACCGACGATGGCTGGGAGATTCAGGCTACCAGTTTGGGTTTGTAATCCAATCGTGACGTTTCTCCCACCAGCATCAATAATACCCAATGCCAACGCTGCCCCAAACTTGGCCATTGCATCTTCATGTTTCTCACCCACCATTCCCTCAAATGTCTTTCGTAGGGAAGCGACCTTAGGGTTCATTTGATCGTTTTGTTGAACCAAAATCATGGCCATTGAAATAAGTGCACCCTGGCGGACAAAGTCCGTTGGATCCTTGATCATGGGCTCTAGGAGGTCGATAGCCTCGTCGAGACCAGTTCCGGCACATGAAATGCCTAAGGCAAGAGAGGCGCCGTAACGGACGTGCGGATTGTAACTTTCACTCAGAAGCTCCACCATTCTTGGCACAGCATTCGGTTTTCGGAACAGAATAAATCCAAGACTCATGACCGAAACCCTGCGAACATCATCATTGACATCACTCACAGCGACGTGCAACAGCTGCCGGATTGCCTTGTTACTGCCGGTGCCGCAGTAAGCCATTGCTATTGTCATGATACCTCCGTATCGTAGTGTCGGATCCGGGTCATCGAGAAGAGTGTTCATCAGGTCGTCAGCAGCTTCTTGTTTTCCAAACATAATCAAAGCCATACCGATTGCTAGGCCCCGGATAATCTTTTCATGCTGTGTCTCGTGCGCATACTGAATCATATCTTCTAACGAAGCAGAGCTCCCTGTACCTAGCATGACCAACCCCATAGCTAACCCCACAGCTTCACCAGCGATCGCCGAATCACTCCAGAGCACGGTCTTGAGCTCGTCGTAGATACCTTGGTTGCCCGTCGCCATTCCGGCAACACCCAAGCCCAGGGCGCCACCATGCTGTACCATTTCGTCTGCGGTACCTTTAAACTGCTTTCTTAGGAATTCAAGCACATCTGTTCCATGGTTGGCGTAAATTAGACCCAGTGCATACAAACTACCACCTTGGGAATACGGAGAACCGGTAGACACGCCCTCCTGAGGCAGGTATGGTTCTAGCAACTTGAGCCCCTGGCTCAAGTTTCCGCGATGTATAACACCCAATGCAGCAGTAGCGGTGAACTTGGACCAGTTAACGGCCTTACTTAGCCATTCCAGATTTGCCCTGAAGAACCCGTCGCTAGTAGTTCCCGCATTCATGAAAGCATTGGAAAATGTGACGGCGGTATGGAAGATAGAGTTTCTTGCCTCAAGTGAATCCTTGATCTTGTTCAGAATACTCATATCTGTATGGTTATTTCTAAAGAGGAACTCCAGTGCAATCTCGATACTCTTGGTCCCACGTAAGATCTGTCGGATTGAACGGTAGTATTTGCCGGTCTTACCCGAAATTGACCCAGCCGAACTAGCATTGCCCCCAAGAAGCCGACTATTCTCGTCATCCTCCGTTGAGTCGGTGGCCATGGTGTCACCGCCCGCGGTTGCAGCAGTGCTCAGTGCATCCGACTCATCAGTTTCAGGACCGGGAAGATCGTTGGCGACTTTCTGGAGGAACTCTTGAGTAGCGGAGGAGTCTAAATCAAAGGCAATCTGGTAGGCTACCAGTAATGACTTGATATCCTCCTTTTGCACAAGTTCTTGAAGGATCTTTGCGGCTAATGATGTATCGTTAAGATGGATGACGCATTTACTGATAGAAAAGTAATCAGGGCTGCTTTGCGAAAGGAAAAGGTTGACCAAAAGACGAAGAAGCTAATTTCCTTAGGGTCAGCTCCTATCATCAAAAGTTACGACATTGGAACCCCCGAGAGAATAGAGCAAACCTTTTCCCGAAGCCCAATCTCCTGTACAACATTCATACTTATCTCCAAAACGTATTCCATCAGCTCTACCCCACCATCCTTCTCCTCCTCACAGCTCTTTTCCTTCCCTTTCTTATCTTTACTCCGTCGGCTTGCTAGATTTATTCCCTCCTCAACGACATCGAGTCTTCGAGCTTCAATAGCGATCCCTATAGCTGGCTTGTAATCTTCTGTTTCGTAGCATTTCCGGAACATTCGCTCTACAATATCTTGCAACCTAGGGTCAGCCTTTTGAGGAACTGCTGATTGCGCATCTTTCTTGGTATTTGAGACGGTAAAGGAGGAGGAGTCAATGTTGGATGATTCGGTAGCGGATGAAAGTGAGTCGTTGTGGGAGTTGATGACGATGTACTTGTCGATACATTTAGCTGTTTCAGTTAGCAAGCCTACCCTAGATGGTCGGTAAGATGAAGTAGCTCTCACAGATAATGGTCTCAACATATTCGCTTTTCGCAGTGATGTCAAACAAGTCTCCAGCCCCCAAGGCGAACATCATTGATTCATTATATTCACCGAGGTGATAGTAAACTTTCGAAGCTACCAATGCAGCAAGGTTACGTTCAGAAAACTGATCATCCTCGTAAAGGACTTCTCTGTCCCACACACGTTTGTCAGTCACCATCAACTTCATCAAAAGGATCCTAGACACAGATGATAATACATCTGTGAACCGTAGGATCCGGCGGCGCAAAAGTAGGTGCTTCAACAAACATTTTCGAAACGCTATCGGCAATCTCAGCCCAAAACTGATCCACCAGCTTATCCAGGTTCTGTAGCGCATAGCATTTCAGTTGCTGATCTGGTTCATCCAAAAGGCCGATTAAACCAGAGGCGGATGTTAATCCAGGCATTTCTTCGGCGATGTAACGTTATTTTGTATCTTTAGCTTTCCCAAACGATTTTGTTAACAGGGGGTAGATCGGAAAGCGAAAGTATGATAACTAGATGATGGTAAAACGGATTCAATGATGATTGAAGGTAGACAGGGGATGGAAATAGTTTGGTGAGGATGACGGAGGGGGGATTGGTATGGGTGGAAGAGGGAATAGGTCTGGGTTGGAGCACGAGGAGTATGGCAACCGTCCGCGAAGTCTTCAGAACGCCAAGACCCAACTTCAAGTGTTAGGGTAATCCCTCTCAAGCTTCACCACCCCGCCAGGGACACCGCACGCTTCTATTAGGACCAGCTTCTTTCAGTCTGGGCCCAAACCCTTTGGCGAGCATTAGAAGCTTTGGAAGCTCTAGAGGCTTACTTTTTGAATTTGGTCTTCCTTTTTGAATTATTAACTTTACTGGATTGTATTGAAGAGCCTCGTTTCTAGATTCTCCTGCAGGTTACTATTTGGGGGATTACATTAAGCTACCATAACCTCCTGCGGAATGTACAGTACAGTGCTGTACCGGTACCGTGTTAAAAATGACATTGTCGGTGTATCGTATCAACTTGGTCTGCCTGATAGGCACCTCTGAGAACTAACCACCCTAGAATAAGCCGATATTATGGCATATAGAGCTGTGATGTCGTAAGTGAAAGGTGAGTTTTTGTTGCATTGTCTATTTGGGCTGGTGGGGGTTGATGCTTTCGTTCTCGGGGTGGAAAAATATCAGACGAAATGTCCTCCTGGGCTAGATATTCTACAGGCATGGCACAAGCAGTGACACCACCGGCATCGTTATCTGATATCATACTCAATACATCTTCTAAAACCATTTCGACAATCTCCGGTTCTCTTACCACCGTGTAACTCATGAGATCAGTCAGCATAAACCAAATCCTTTACTAGGGCCCTCGGGGAGCATCCCTCAATACTCGAGACTCGAGTAGTATTTCAGGAAATGGTGATTTTGAGGACAGCATGGAAGCAATACCATACTATGCTATATAGTGGAGTCGGTATAGTGGCGGTATGATACCCATACCGGTACTCCAGGGTCTAAGGTGGTTTTGAGAGTATCTATTAACTTAGGGGACTGAGGGTAAAGGCCTATTTGGATGCAACTGTTCCGTTCCGTCGCCCCGTACAAAGTGATCATTTTGATAGTCTATGATAGAACGAGTATCATATGATACGGTACTTTTATATGGGAAGCGGTAGCAGAACAGTATCATACAGTTAGAGTGTTGTCAAACAAGCCCTAAATCCTTTTTGGGCTATTTAGCGCAGCTGTTTGGAGTAATGCGGAGCAAATGACTATTAGTCTACCGGGGCTGGATCATAATAGACATTAACTTTAGTAAACTATCATAACCTGGACTGGAGGGGAGAGCCCCAAAACCGCACCAAAACCACTTGGCGGGGGGGACCTGACTAAGCCATATTGACATTACGTATGATACTGTCCAAACTCACCGACGCCTCTCCAATCACTTACTTTCCCCACCTCACCACCACCCATGATGGCTCTCACTTCGGAGGTATTTTCGGGGCTTTGCTTGATAGCACTGGCCGGCATTGTTTTGCTGTTGCAGCGACATTATCTCCCGTTAAGAACTACTCCAGAGTATCTGATCGTTGCTACATTCTTTCCTCTATTGATCTCGTGCTCTATTGTGATCTTGGTACCCATAGATCTTGCTTCTTCGTCAGCAGGGGATGACGGCTCTCGAGGTACTCCCCTTTGCCCCTTATTAGACCCTTGATTTGGCAACTTATGTTTGGGGCGTAGGTATTGTATTGCATGAACGAGTTCTCCTGGTCTCCTGGCGAGTTGCGTACTGGCTATGCTTCGTTTTGACATGGTAGGAATCCCCCTGGTAGGATTTAAGTTATCTATTCACAATTCATCTTCCGTCATAGGGCTGTCCTTCCAATGCTTCAGTCATACAGCAGTTCCGGCCATCGTTCCCCTCGTAATCGGTTATTAGAAGCGCTTCGCGAAAATGCTCGATATCAACTGATGGTTTTGTCTGTTGGACTTGTCGGGCTTGTCTACGTTTTTATCACCTCCGGTGTGCATCTCTACTCGCTCAAAAGCCTCGTTATGGCATTGTCATACTTTTATGCCTTGTCTATCGCTATCTTCCTTATGGGTCATGGTCTCGTTGCTGTACCACGCGGAATAATGCGGAATGCCAGTATTTCTGGAAAATTGAGGAGAATACAGATGCATGCACCCAGAGCTTACGATAAACTATTGGATGCAACAAACAACCTAGAAGATGTCGAAGTGGAAATTAGGGAAGTGATGAAGCGGAAGAATGGATCTGCGAGAGAGTTTCAAGATTGGATTGGGGAGCTTGGCGATATGCTCCAACTTCCGGAGTCGGCGATCCCCGTACGGTCACGGGCTGGGGCACCCCCGGTGATCACCGAACAGTATCTGGCATCTCTTACACGGCGGTTCAAAATCGCGACTCATAAGAAGGCCAGATTCAACTCTGAATGGCAGGCGCTAGTGCAGTCTGCGGCGGACGCACAAGCGGTTTTAGATTCGTCGAGAACCAAACGATTGAAGTTTACAAACCATTTTTCTGGCCCATCGATTTTTGAAAAGATGCCCTTTTTGAACGCTTATACTCGCCATGTTCTTTACTATTACGTTTTACCTTACTTCTACCGAGTCATCGCCGCCTTCCTGGCACTTGCCTCTAGCTGCATAGTCTGGTCAGAATTGGTTCACGGATTTACCACAAAACTCTCGTTGGTTAGTTACACCGTCATCCACCATCCATCTTCAACAGGCGGTCGGATCGGTTTCGCTGGCCAAGCGATTGCAGCGGCATGGATAGCGTATATGTGCGCGTGTGCCTATTCATCCTTGACGACAGTTAAAGTCTGGGGAACCCACGCACTTGTCAAAAGGATGACCTCAGGAAGCTCAGCATGCTTTTATGCTTCGTATGCAGCACGACTAACTGTTCCATTGGCCTATAATTTTACGGGATTGCTTGATAAGGATGTTCTCGGAGATGAGACTGTTTTCTACAAGTTTCTCGGAAAGCTTATCAACCTTACCCCTCTTGGGGAAGGCTTCGATGGATACTTCCCTGTGCTGATATTGCTCCCTGTTGCGGCGACGGGGTTCGGCTTTTACGGGTGGGTCAAGGGCATGTTCGGAATTTCTGGGGACGTGATGGAAGACGAGGATGAGGACGAGGATATTGGTACTGGAGGATGGAGAGAAGGCAGTGATTTAATCGAACGCGAACTCCTCGGTGCTTCTGGTAGCTCAACCGGCATAAGGAATCTTCTCCCAGCAGCTCGAGTCCGGTCCCCTGTCGTTGGTGCCGGAGCCTCAAGGACTTCTAGAGAGCAGCCTAGATTAGGCCGCACGGGCCCTATTCATCTAACAGATAGCGACGAGGCGGATGCTGCTCCACAAGAAGGTTTCCTAGGAGGCTTCTTCCATAGGGTCAAAAACACCCTTGACACAGTCGAGACCCCCGGGTGGATTGAAGGTTTGAAGGAAAATGTCAAGAAGCCAAAGTGGATGTCCGGGGAGGGCGGCAGTAGTAGCGGTGCACCAAGGCCCAGATGGCCGCGATTCGGAGATGGTGACGACGAATCTGGTGGGCTACTAGGGAGGCGATAGTGGGATGCTTTCTTTCTTGTTCTCTGATTGTTAGTTTCGTTGGTTGGGCGTTTTTCTAATTTGTGGATAGAAAATTTGGAGGGTGGGCCAGGGTGCTTCCTTGTTTTTCTCCGTGTTTCGCTTTTCCATTGTTGTTTCGAATAGGTTAGAAGTTTGTGAAATTAATTAATATCTGTTAGAGAGGTAGTATTGATTATGGATAATAACGGTATCATACTTGTACTAACACAAGTACCCTTGTTAAATCACTGTTGGGTGCCTAAGGCTTGAGAGTACAAAACTACCACAATGTTAGGTCTATCTATAATATCTAACCCAGAAATACCGGTAATTCTTATGAAGTGCTATTGTCTATCATATAAAACCCAGAATGGTGTTGTTCGAGTACCGGTACAGTACACCAAAGCCGCCACTGATCCTGACAGGAATGATCTACTCGAGTACTCGAGTACCGGCACTTGTACACGCACAGTACTGCATTCCCAGCAGCGATATCACAATTTTGTGAAACCCCCGAATTACGTTGAAATAAGGTTCGAAGCAGGTCGTCCATCCGCTGACCTTCCTTCCTCATGGAGACTCGCAACCCCCCCCCACCCACCAATACCGTTGCCCTACGCGGACCGTCGCACTCTCAGTTATTGTGAACCTACTATACAAAAACCTCCCTGCAACAAGTTATATCCTGCAAGCAACCACCACATCCCTCGCAAGGATGCCAGTGCTACGGGAAATCGATCAGTGGGCTTCGCTCCCACTCCTGCCCGTAAGGTTCTGGCGGGAAATTTCATGCCGGATTAGTCTAACTACCAGTACCCCACCCGCATCATCTATGGCGGGATGAAGACGGGTGGTGAAAGATGAAAAAAGAAAGAAAGAAGAATCCCGCTTCGGGTGACGACAATAACGAACGGATGAACGAACGAACTTTTTCCCACCTTTCATCCCTTCATTCTTTTGTTACTTTTTCCTCCCTTCGACCGATCGGCCTTCTGGTTCAAGTGTAGCAGCAGAGGGGAGTTATTTTTACTCCGGAACGTCGTAACAATGAGGTGCGTGGTGATGGTATTTCTGGAATTATATCCATGACAGGTACTGCTCCACCAGGGCCTACTGTTCTGCTGCTACTACTATGATATGTACTCGAGTACCGCGACGACATCGTACCTGCTGGTGATGCAATACCTAACCGAATCCACGCCCCGTCTCACCCACCATAGCTCCTACACAACTTAAACTCTCCGTCCAACTACCTTCTTATATCATCCCCCCACCCCCGCCCACACCCTTACCATCACCCTCCCTACCATACACCCCCGGCACCCCTACCAACCCACAAATGCTGGACACCGCCAGAACGTACCCTCCCCCTGAAAAACCGCCAAAGCACTACACACTTTACAAGTCCTGTCAGAGGTTCGCTATCCGCCTGGTTACCCAGGATGCCTTCTCGCGCACACGGAGTGTAGAGGGTTTCGAGGGGCAATGGGAGAGCATGAAGGGGTAAAGATTGCCAGGAGGGCTCTTCTTGAAGGGGCGAATGGGGGAGGATGAGACGAAGTAGTGGTGGACTAAGTGAGATCGAAGAAGGCGCTCAAGATGTGTCCTCAGTTCAGGGAGATCGGCATTATTACTGGAGAAGTGGGCAAGGCAACGAGGGAGATGGCGGAGGAGGAGGAAGGGCAAACATGAAGAGGGGGGAACTCGAGGGGGACGGCGGAGGTGGGGACAAGGGCGCCGAGGGTGACGCAGAGGAAGGAAGAGCTAGCGGAGTATGTGAGTACTGTACCGGTGGGGTTGGAGTATACAATGGGTGGTTGGAAGGTCCTTCTCGGGGGTCGTATATATTGGGGACGTTGGATAGTGCTATGGTTTGTGATATATTTGTGCAAGGATAGGTAGGCGATTACCAGATGTTCATGCATCAGTCTAGTTGAATACCCCCAACACTCAAGGATACGTTTGTACTCATGTTGTCTCTGCCATGGCTCCTGGTCGAAGAGTGGGAATAGAGCCAGGAACGATGTCTTCAAAGTATTGGGATTGCGCCCTAGCCCGCACGTACCCCCCGCACCCCAATTGACCTTATATCACACCCTGAAAATCCCACCACCCCACGAATCACACCGATCCCCATGGTTCAATCCCGTCCATGTTATTTCCATCTACGGCAATACACTGGGGACGGATCTCCTTCCCCACCCAAGGGGAAGTAGAAAGGAAGAAATAAGTAGAAAACCCCGAAATCCGACAGAGAGAAGGAAAAAGAAACGAAAATGGAGTATCGAAAAGGTAGAAAGTATATTATTCACTTTTTTTTTATACCCCCAACCACACAATACCCTTTAATGAGCTGCTCTCCTCGACTCGGCGATAACCCTCTGGAGCTCGTCAACCTTTTTCTTTGCGCGGCCGAAAGTTCCGAGCTGTAATCAAGAAATTTGAGTGATTTGATATTATTAGGGGAAGGGGGAACTGACCCTCTTCTTTGCGAGCTTGCGGGCACGCTTGTCCTTGCTATTACGGAGCAATTCGATGACACGCTTCTCATACGGCGCAAGACTACCCAAACCAAATATTAACATGCGGCTCGAACGTAGTATAGAAATCGGCTGACGAGTGGGGAAGGGAGAAAAAAAGGACATACCCAGCGACCTCCTTCACAATCTCACGCACGAATGCGGTCTTCTTGCTGAGGGCCCCCTTACGACGAGAAACCTTTGCCTTAGGATCGCGGAGAGTGACCCCCTTGTAGCCTTTGTTCTGCCCGTAGGCAAGACCTACATAATTCCTTCGTTAACGAACCAGGATTCAACTTGGGGGAAAAAAGAGAGAGTTGTGTTGATAAAAAACTTACCGGACTTTTCTTTGGCCATCGCTGCTGTAAGTATGTTAGTTAGTTAGGCTTAACCGTTCGTTGGTCTTGGGGTCGTCGGCCGCTCGGTCAGTTTTGATTGTTGTCGATGTTTTTTATCAATCCCCACCCCTTCAGTAAGTGGAGGTCGTGTGTGTGTGTGCGTGCCAAGCCTTTGTCTTTGTGTGAGAGGTTGTGGGGAGGGTAAATTTATTGGTGGAAGGATCAGTGACGGTTAGGGCCAAAACCCTAGTTCCCGTTAGCAGAACCCCACTATCAAAACACACCACACAACTCTACGGAAAGCGAAAATTGGAAGGGTAGAGAGGGAAACTTTCACGAGCTAGGATTATTTTTCCAACATTCCTCTCTTCGAGAAAGAGCACCGCCTCTCCTTCGAGCAACACCACCATCACCAAACGGAATTTCTTCGAGGACGGTTAAAGACATTTGCTTTTATCTAAAAAAATAAAATCCCAATCATGGTATCTCCCCCTCCACCCCCCTCTATATATTAAGCAAGAAAAAACGACACACTCACTAACAAGTACTACCTACCAGTCTGACGCAGGAGAAGAAGTCCCACCCGTCGAACCCGCCGACGAGATCGAGGTCCCAGCCGACAGCGCCTCCAAGGGCCAGATGTCCGTCGAGGAAGCACTCAAGGGAGTCCTCAAGCACGCGCTCATCCATGACGGCCTCGCCCGTGGCCTACGTGAGGCGAGCAAGGCGCTGGATCGTCGCCAGGCCCACATGGCCGTTCTCAACGAGAACTGTGAGGAGGAACCGTATAAGAAGCTCGTGGAGGCTTTGTGCTCCGAACACAAGATCCCCTTGATTAAAATTGCGGATGGGAAGAAATTGGGGGAGTGGGCTGGGCTTTGTAAGTTTCTTCTAAATCATATCTTTCTTTCTTCACAAATTGGATGTGGGGAGGGGTTTGGGGCTAATGATTGCAGGCGTCTTGGATCGTGAAGGAAATGCTAGAAAGGTCGTTAATTGCTCTTGCGTTGTCGTTAGGGATTGGGGTGAGGAGAGCCAGGAGAGGAACGTTCTCCTACAATACTTCCAAACCCGTTAATTTCCTTCTTTTTCTGTTGTTTTCCTCTCAAGTTTTTTCCTTTTCCCCTCATCTCAAGAGAACTCTCGGGATATAAACTTGTATGGAGCAAAGAAAGCAAGTGAGCATCAAACGCAAAATAAAAGTCTTCTCTGCAAACTATCAAATCATCAATCGATTAAGAAAACCAATCACTTTTTGAAAGACCAATTCGTGACATCGCAAAAGAAAAAACATGAATTTGAAGAATTAAACATGAAGATGAAGCTAGATAATAATACACCTATGCAAAGTAAAGTATCCATGATCCATGATTTAAGCTACATACCATATTGTGTGCCTTCCCACCACCACTTTCACAAAAATCAGGCGCCGACACCAGCAAGCAAGCAAGCAAACAAGCAAAGAGAAGAAGGTGGAAAAACTAAACCTAGCGAAACCGAGTGGCATCAAAAAATTCAAAAAATTCAAAACAGGAACAAAAGTGAAAACTCTCATACGGTATCATCTCGCAAACATACGCTACGCTAAGCCTAGGCAACTAATATAAATAACAAAGGAGACGGCAACAAGATATCACAGGATCTCATGATAATTTCCGTCTTCACTTTCAACAAAACAGCCCCCCAAACAAACACACAAAGCAAAGCAAGGCTTGTCACAAAGCAAAGTAAAGCATACCCATTGCTGAAAAAAAGAAAGGAAAAGAATCTTTACCCCGAAAAATGAAACCCCCCACCCATAACACAGTGGGCATGGCTCGAGATAGGATGAAAAGAGAAATGAAAAAAGAAAATGAAAAAAAACATGACCCAGTACAAACCCCCCACCTCCCCAACGGTTCCGAAAGGTTCTCCCCTACCGCCCGAGGCTGATAGTTACTCCATCCCCCCAACGCGTGAATGGTTGATTGGTCGGAAGCAATGTGCATGTTGTAAGGCTAGAGGACTGGGGGGAAAAAGTGAAAATGAAAATGAACCCAGGAAAGAACACCCCTATGAGCAAAAAAAGCAGAAGACAGGAAAGGAGGAAAAATCATGATGGGGCACCGGTAGTAGTAGCAATAGTGGCAGGTCTAGGAGGCGGCATTGGATTTGTTGAACCACCTCCCGTGGGAGCCGGACCAATCGGTAAGAAGGAGTTTGAAGTTGGAGATACGGTAGGTGTGGGGGTGGAAGGAAGTGGTGCACTAAACAGCTTTGAGAGCCTTAATGCCATTTCCTCCTTGCTTGTGGAAGCAGGCGATACGAGGGCTGTGGTTCCGTTCGGACAAAGCTTGACGGGAGTGGAACAGTTGGAGGTTGCAAAAGTCATGTCCACATCAATGGTGTTGGGATTCGCGAGGGGGGCATATTTCGGGTCTGCATCGATGAGGGCGATAAAGTCGTCGAACTGTATCATATCCAGTTAGGCACAGGAAGTAATTGGCATGGGAGTGAGCGAACGTACCTTGATCCAGAACACTTGCTCCATTGAGAGAAACTTGGATCTCTCTTCCCTACGTGCATTCTCGAGTTGGTTGATGGGTTTGTGGCTGTCATATGAGCTCTCGCAGAGCATCACGGAAAGAACCGACCACATCCGGAACCTTTCCTCGAGAGTTATCGGACGACGCTTGAGATCGGTATCTATATTTGGTTAGTTTGATCGTGCCCAAGTAGATAAGAGTTCTTAGACTCAAACTTACATCCAGCCAAAGAAAGATCTGTGACCCCCAGAACCAACACTGCTTGAACATTGAGAATCCACTTAAAGGTTCTCACATTTCCAACACCATTAACTTGCGCGACGCCATTGCCAGTCGGTTTAACCGGTGTTGATGCAGTTGACGAGGGGCAGGCAGAGCCTGCAGAGAACGTAGCACAGTACAATGGCAGGAACTTCGACCCTCCAAATACGGCGGGAGATTCCTCTGCATGTCTGAGGGCGTAAGGAAGTGCTTCGCGGCGAGCAATTTCAAGTTGTCGAGCTTCTTCCTCGAGTCGTCTTCTCTCTGCAGCTTCCTCATCGCGCCTCTTCTCTTCGGCGAGCCGACGCTGGAGCTCCTCTGCGATTTTGCGAGCTTCCTGTTGCTTGCGCTCCTCTTCGCGCCTTCGCTCTTCTTCAAGACGTTGCTCTAGCTCAAGACGGAGCTTCTCGGCTTTCTCAGCTTCTTCCCTGAGACGCCGCTCTTCGGCGAGCTTCCTCTGGCGTTCTTCCTCGAGTCGCCTTTCCTCTTGGATTCTAGCTTCCTCGAGTTTGCGCGCCTCCTCTTCCTCCTGGCGTTTTCTCTCTTCTTCGCGCTTCCTTTCCTCCTCAAGGCGTTTCTCCTCCTCTTTTCTCCTGATTTCAGCCTGACGCCTTTCTTCTGCCTCCCGCTCTTCACGTTCCCGGGCCTCGCGAGCTTCCCTCTCTTCCTTCTCCTTAGCTTCACGTATCTCCCGTTCACGGGCCTCACGTGCGATCCTCTCTTTCTCCTCTCTTTCCTTGGCCTCCTTCTCTCTTGCCAAACGTTCTTCCTCCTCTCTCTCCTCCTTCTCTCTTTTCTCTCGTTCAATTCGCTCGGCCTCCGTACGCCGCTTCCGGAGCTCCAATTCGCGATTGACAACCTCCTCTTCCCTAGCCTTTTTGGATTCCTCCCTGGCTTTGTTCTGGATGGCTTGCTGCTCCTTTGTGAGGAAAATCTGCCGCTTGCGCTCCCTTGTTTCTAGCTCAACTTGAGCCTTCCGTTTATCATCCTCCTCTCTCGCTTTGCGCTTCTCTTCCTCCTCCCTTGCTTTGATCCTCCCCCTCTTGTCAGACTCCCTCTTATCGCGATCAGACCTCTCCGTCTCCCTATGCTTCTCGAGAACATCTCTAGGTTTATCCCGGCGCAGCCTTTCCTCATCCCTTCTATCATGGTGCAGCCTCTCCGAAGCTCCCTCGTCTCGGGAAAGTCGCCGAGATCTGCTGGTAGAGTCTCTCCTTACGACCGCATCATCAGGATGGAGCTTTCGCCTATTGCTTCCGGCAAGCTCCTCCTTCAGCTTTTTGGTAGAGCTATCGTCACTATCATATTTCTTCTTCTGCGATATATGCTCTTCCATACGATCTTTCATTCTTTTGTGCTTCCGAGTTCCTTCATAGTCGGACCTACGCCCGGATTCTGAGCGGGATGCGGGGGAACGTGTCCTTTCACGTTTGACGGAGGATTTTTTGTCCTTGACGCCGCTGTCCGGCTTGTGCTGACCCGTATCGTTGCGGTCGGACCTTGGCTTGTGAGTTACCCGCTCTAACGACACATTTATGACAGGCCTTTCTTGTTTGAAATCGTCGTTACTAGGCCGATGTCTCCTCAAGGGTCTATCGGCAGATCTCAGACCTGATGGCTTAGAATCCTTAGCTTCAGTATCCCCCCCAGTAGGCGTAGATTTTGGTATATCCTGTGACCTTTCCTCCTCCAAATCCTTGCCAGAAATTAACCGTCGCTTCCTTTTTGCGATAATCGGGGGTATCGAATCCGACTCGCTTCGCTTAGACTTCCTCCGAAGTCGGGGTGGGCCAAGGGGCTCTGCGGCGGATTCGTGATCAGACACCGCGGCAGTGTTGTCATATTTAGAAGGGTTAACCGACGAGGCGCGGCGAGGAGGCATGCTTTGGTTTAATGAGGAAGCGGAAGTATTGTTGGGGCGACGTGAGGAGGAAGGTGCTGTTTTTCCGTCCATTGTCTTTTTAAGTTTGGGAGAGGAGCCTTTATGGGTCGATGAAGGATTCCGCGCTTTGTCAGCCCTGCTCTCTCTTCCGCCACCAGCCTTGTCCCAAGCTTTCTTTAGCATGTCTACCTCCTCCTCCCAGAGCTCCCCTTCCCTTTCTTGTGCAATTTCTACATATGATTTTCCCTTGCTATCCCGTCGCCTAGGGTCAACACCGTTCTCCAACAAATATCGCAGCACTTCAAGATTCCCTCGACCGATAGCAGCAAGCATAGGCGTTTCCTCCCCAGCCGGAATCGATGTATCCCGACTCTTTCTACCGTCTCGCCCAGGATTCCCGGGTTCGGGGTCCACGATGGCGTTGTAAGCTAAGAGCAAACTAACAGTATCAGTATGGCCACCCTTAATGGCGCCGATTAACGACTCAGTATCGGGCTTAGTCCCCCTCTCCAATAGTGCATGAACCATCTGCTGGTCCCCCTCCCGAGCTGTTTCTCTGAGCTTCTGAAGACCATTCTTCCCGGCGTCCAGCCATAACAAATCCTTTCGGCTCTGTTCTGTCCGAGCGTTCCGGCGGCGGGTCGCAGTTGGAGCTGAGGGAGCTTGTGGAGATTGATGAATTGGACTTGTTACCGATGGATCGCGAGAGGAATGACTGTCAGCAGCAGCGCTAGCTCTTGGATTCTCATCATCAGAAGAGCGTTTCGTGCGAAGTTTGTTGATAGCCACCTTTAGAAGGTCCTCAATCTCCCGGAACACTTCTGGGGTTTCACGATTGGTATCGTTCGCATCAAGGGCTGTTTGTCCCTGTTTATTCCGTTTCCGCGGGTCGGCACCGAGTTCCAGAAGGTATTTGACAACATCAGCATGCCCATTATCGACGGCATCCAGCAGCGGTGTATCCAACTCCAGCCGGGAGGGGACATCAAGCCATGCCCCATTATTTATTAAAACCTTGACAACTTCCAGATGCCCATGGAGACAGGCCTCGTGTAAAGGCATATAACCCGCGTTATCCTCTTCATTTAAAAACTCTTTTCCTTGATTAAGAATAGTTTCGACTTCGGCAACAGCTCCCCTCTGGCATGCTCGATGGAGATGTGTCCGACCAGCAGTATCCCTTTTTGGTTTATGAGACATACTTACCGGAGAACCAGGTGTTCGAACGGATGATTGAGGACGACGCGGGTGACGAGAAGTGTGTGCGGGAGAATTGTCTCGAGATGAAGGTGACGAAGAAGAGGCCTCGTCACCAGAGCGTTTTTCCCGCGACAGCGAATTTAACGGGGCAGGTATTTTCCGATGTTTTAATGCCCGTTGTCCAGCGTGAGTTTTCTCCTTAATTCGTGCGCTAGATTTGAATGGGCTCAATGAATGTGGGGAGGGGGGTGGTGACGATTTTATTGGAAGACGTGATTGGGGTGGTGGGGAATCGGGTGGTAAGCTCCTTCTTCGCTTTCTACATCGCGGCCGATTGTACCGCAAGTCATCCGAATTTTCGGCTTCAGATCCAGACGAGTCCGCTCTAACACCACTCACGAAACCGGGTGCCTTACGTTTACGCAGTCCACCGTTGTGCTGTGTCTGCTTCTCTCGCTGCTCTCGCTGCTCGCGTTGCCTCTCCTGATGTTGTTGCGCGGGTGGTGGCTGAGAGCGCTGCTGCTTTGCTTTACGGCGATTGATGGGGTATGGTGAACCGGTTCGCGAAGAACGCGATGGCGCGGAGCTCAAGTCGGAAGAATCATGTTCACCCCCGCTCTCATCTTCGATCTTTGCTCTTCGTTTCGGTGGCCTGCCACGAGGTTTGCGCTCGTTCGCCATTTGAGCAACACCCCTACCACGGCTTCCATTTCCCCCATCCCTTCCACCTCTTTCTCTTCCCCCTTCGGCTGCACCACTGGCACCCTCCCTTCTAATTCCAGCAGTCCTCTCTCCCCCTCCTCCCCCTCTTCCTCCTCCAGCTCCCCCTGCTTCAGAAGCCCTTCTCCTCCTCCCTTTCTCATGCTCGTTAGTCTCACCATTCTCTGCGGTAGCGCTAGTAGTAGGTCTTCTGCGCGTGTCTAACGTTATTACGGCGGCCAACGGCGGTGGCTCGGGTAAAACGACCGTCTCAGCCTCTGAATCACCCTCAATCGTGTTGCGCGGCGAACGGTTTGGCGAGGCAGTCCTCGTCGAATCCCTCTTCTTCGATCGCGGAATCTGTTGTTGCTGATGCGAAGGAGGAGGAGCCCTGGAGTGAAAAGTATTAGGGGATGCAGTCACGGTTACCTGATGTTGTAGTGGAAGACCAGGGGAAGATGACATTATGATCGCAGTCGTCGGTGATGGGAGACCTTCATCGCTATAAAGCGCAAGGCTTATTTTTTTTAGGGTAAAAACGATAATAGTAATAATAATAAAAAGTTGGTTGTTTCCTTTTCGTTGGCTTTGTCTCGGATAGAACGGGGTATCGAATCTAAAGGAATTAAAGATTCAAAACAAAATAAAAGCGAAAGGATTCTCCCGGGTTATCGGTACAAATGGGTTGGATCTGGTGATTTATTTATGGGTCCGTAGCCTTTTTTTTTTTTTTTTTCCTGAAATATTTCGTCTCCCCGTTCTGGCGTTTTAATTATCCTCTTTCCTTCTCGGTCTCCGCCAACCGACCGGAGAGTCGAGGGGAAAAAAATCAGATTTGGTGGAGGAGGGAAGGTGAGGGTGAAGGGGATGAATGGGAAGGGAATGGGGGAAGGTTGAGGGTGCACGGTAACCAGTAGTCCAGTCAATCAGTACCGCTCAGTGCAATAATCCCTCCTGTATCTGTCGGTAGGCAGGCGGAAGACCCGATTACGGGCTGGCTGGCTGGGTTGGGTTTGGATTCTTCGGGGGGGCCGGGCGACAAGATCGCTGGTTTGTGAAGAGAGTGAGAGAGTGTGTGTGTGTGGGCAATGGGGAGGGGGGCTCTGCACACTTGCTCTAGCTCGCCTGCCTGGTCGTCGTTGTGAAGGGGGGGTGTGAGCACTGTAGGAGAGCAGGGAAAAGGTAAAAAAGGCAAATGGGGGAAGGGAAGGGAAAGATGGTTAAAGCAATGTGGGAAAAGTCTGAGAGAAAGGGAAAGAGCGAAAAAAAGAATAGCTTAGTAATTGACCATCAATCCCTAAGTGCGTGATAAAACTCCCCCTCTTTTAGGGGGGTCGTTGCCTGGATAAGGTGGAGGAGTTCTCGGGGGATCACTGGCAAGTCATGTATTTTGCTGGTGGATATTCTTATTGCTGCTTTAGGGGTGAGTTAACGGTGATCTGGTGGTCTATTTCTTTTCTTTTTCTTTCCACATGGTACAAGTACGAACACAAGTACGATATCTACTCTTTAATTATTTATTTCCTCGTTGTACGAAGAGCTTACTCGAGCATCGTTAAGCCTTCAAATCTGCCTTCTTTTTGTGCCTTCAACTCATCTAAAATAGCAAGGAAAGGGCAGTTGCGAAAACGATGACAGAAAACTCGAGAAGGTGTGCGCACGGGTTGCTGTATGTACCGGTATGATATGTTACTGTACGAGTACAAGTAAATTAGATGGGAAGAAAGAAAGCAGCAAGAGAACGATCGGCCTAACTCACTTCTCTTTCCACCTTCCACCTCCCACCTCCCACCTCTCACACCCCCTCACGCTCTCTCTTCCCCGAACAAACGGCCAGCCAGCCAGGTAAATTATGCAACAAACAACCTTCTCCCCCTTCGGGCGGGGAGGAAGAAAAGAAAAGAAAAGAAAAGAAAAGAAAAGAAAGACTACTCTCCAGAGCCCTCGAGTAAGATTCAAAGCCCGCCGCCTCCTCGTTGCATCCCGTAGGTAACTACGGTACGGCACCGTGCCAATATTTACTTATTTACCGGTATTTCATCTGGCAATCTGCGGCTGAAAGGGTTTGACAGCATCCTTCGTTTTTGTTGGACCCATTAGACTAAAGGTGCTCTGCCCGTACTGGCACAGCATACAGCACAGGCAGGCACTCATTCGTAAGAAGCAAGCGCAAAAATAAAATAAAAATTGCCTGCCCTGGTATTATAAGTTTTCTCACTCTCGGTCCTCTCCTCAGCAGGTATGTGTTTGGCCCGACTACCGTGCTGGGAGGAGGAGAGAGGGAGGGGGGAAAGTTTCGGCAATTGAGGAGGAAGGAGGAGGAACCTTTGTGGTAAGATACGGCAGTCTCGCAGTGGGGACCATGAACTGCCAATTTTGATAGGTGCGGGTACAGGTACGGGAGCTGTATGGTGATTATGACGGTGGTGATGATGATGATGATGATGGGAAGACTCCTTTTTTGGTCCACCTGATGTTGATACGAGTAGTGTACTCGAGTACCGTATGGCATGGCTGTACCGTACACAAGGCCAAAGTATCATAATGACCGTCCATCCAGCCATCCATCATATCTAAATTATCAGCTCCCTCAATCTACAAGTAGGGTACGGTACCCCGCTCCTCTCCGCTGCCTAACTTGCCTGTGCGGTTGGCTCGGCAAGGCAAGGTAAGGCCAAGCAGACTCCTCGAGTACATTACAAGCAAGTCAAGGCAAGTACAATGCCCTCTCTGCTCACATCAAAGTGATAAATTACGATTCCTCCTCCAGGTCATATCATACATCGGGCACACAGCGGTAGTACAACAGCACACAGTGGTGGTGGTGGTGTGGGGGGGGGTTTGTGAACAAAATGCCCCCAGCTGGGTTTACCGAAGCAGTCTACCCAAGAGCAGGGGGATAATCTTATTGCCTCTTAGATATGCACAGAATGTATCTTTAATTCTTGTTTTCGGATATATCTTGCCCAGGACGAGTACTCGTATTGTACGGTACTGCTACCGGTAGCACAGTACGAGTGCTCGAGTGCTGGGAGTGACGCTGCACCATACCTCACGAAAAGTAATCCCTTGATCCTCTTCCTCCTCATCATCATCCTTTCCCCCACAATCCTGCTCCAAAAAAACTCCCGACCCCCATACACAAGTACATGCCGACGACAAGAGACTTCTTCCTCTTCTTCCTTCCTTCCCCTTCTACCAATGCCGATAGTACTCGTATATTCACCCTCATGTCAAAAAACCACCCTAGCCTGAAAATCTGGGTTATTGCTATTTCAAATCTACATGTACTAGTACGGGTACAGTACTCTGCTGTAGAATACAATAACGTGTGACCGGGAAGTGGGTTAGACGTGGGAGTGAATCACTTTGCCCCCTTGAATTCTGCTAAAAAAACCTTCACTGAGGAACTTCTGACAAAATCAAACCTCCGAATTCAGCCCGGGAAAGGGCAAATCCAACGTAACGTGCTATCAAGAATAGACTATCTCCCGCCCCTCTGAACTCCCTCTTCCAAGTGTCGGGGTATCAGTGGAGATTTCTAGATTTCCAAATTTCCCACTTTTTGGTCAGTCTTGCCGGCACGGTGGCTGGCTCACTTCGCCGTCTGACCCACTTCCCCGTCCGATGTGTTATGGTACAGTACCGTACTCCTACTTGTACCTTAGGTATTACATTAAATTTGGAATATTACTGTTATTACCAAGGGCTGTTGAGGAGGCGTCTTTCATTTTTACAGGCAGCGGGAGGCACTCCATTTCCCGCTGAATTTGGAACGCCCACCGTTGGGGAAGAAGGGGTAGAAGGCATGGCAGCGGGCACGAATGTGGGGGGGGGGTGGTGGAAATGTGGCGTTTTGGGCGAAGGGGAGGGAGACTCTTGATTGATGGCTGCATAATATCATGGTATCGTAAGGTTAGTCTGCGATATGATAGTACTGGTAGTTCCTCACCTGCCACAGCCATGTCCTATTCCAAGCTTCTCTAAAAATCCTCCGAGCTATCATAAATGTGGGAAGGGGGAAGAAAGTGGAAGTGGAGGGGATAGGTCAACGAGGGCTGGATTGGGCTGGACTCAACTCCCGGTAGCCTTAACCCGACCACCATCACCGACGTGCAAGTGTCAGTGCCCAAGTCCAGACACGCAGATAATAATGTTTGTACCGACATTGCTGCGAGCGTTCTTCGTTCTGGCTTCTGCAACTGTAAGTCCTGCTCTTGCTCTTCCGGACCTACGAAGCGGCCGGAGAAGCTGACAATGTGAATCTGCAGATCCTGTTCATCCAATCCATCCCCCCATTCCGCTCCCGTTTCCTGGTCTACGGAAAAGTCGCTACACCCACCACCACTACAAACGCCAAAGATGCTAAACCCATCACCCCTCGAGACCCCAAAGGTCCCGTAACAGCCCTCCTCGACCATCTCGCCACATACACCGTCCCGCACTCCTTTTTCACGCACTTTTACATCCTAGCCCTAGCTACGCTGCTCCTCTTTGGCCAGCAAATCTCCACCCATGGCTCGCTCTACACCCTCTTGCGCGATCTCCAAACCCCAGAATGGGCCGCTGCTACCCGGCGCGTTATCGGCGGGCAGTCGGTTCACCAGGTCGTGTTGACCTGGACTTGCCTAGTGTTGCAGACTGTGAGAAGGTTGTATGAGTGTTTGTTTGTGCAGAAGTCTGTAGCGGAGGGAGGGCGGGAAAGTTGGATGTGGGTTGTGCATTATGCGCTTGGATTGGTGTTTTATGTAAGTGTGGGTATTGCGGGGTGGGTTGAGGGGACCGGTATGTTTTCCCTAGGAGTTTTTTCTTTTGCGCAGGGCACTAATGGCGGTGGTGGTGGTTAGATGCGATCGATGCTTTCAAGTTTACGCCCATGAGTCTTTACTCCCTTGTTGGGCCTCCCAGTGCGAAGTCCTTCATTGGTGTTATATTCTTTATTTTTGGCTCCGGCTTTCAGCATGATTGTCATGCCTACCTTGCCAGCCTCGAAAAGTATACGCTTCCGGTGCACCCGGCTTTCCAGCGGTTAGTCTGTCCGCATTATTTTGCTGAGTGCCTTGTCTACCTTGGCCTTGCAATAATGAGCGCACCGAGGGGTGGCGGGCCGTTTAATGTTACGATGTTGACTGCGTTGATCTTCGTCGGGGTTAATCTCGGGGTTACGAGTATGTTGAATAGGGAATGGTATATTGAGAAGTTTGGAGAGAAGAGTATGGAAGGTTTGTTCTCTGAATTCCTCTGGGGATAAGGGGAGATCTTTTGCTAATGCTGTGTTTGTTTTTTTTTTTAATAATAATAGAGAGATGGAACATGATACCCTTACTCTTCTAATTAGATCTACTGGGTATTTCGTCTTCTAATTATTTGGGTGGTTACGTACACGCACTTTGCCGTAATTTCTGATGTCACATTACCAAACCACTATCGTACCAAAAAGATACCAATATCACGCACCCTCACTTTCGCAGAAACCCACCCCCAACCTTCACCACCTTGAGCACATCCCTATACGTCAAACTAATCCTGGCCCCTCTCTCGCTCCTCCCACCCTTAAACCTATCTTTATCCCCCAACAACTCCCAATTCGCAATCGTCTCGGGTCCCAAGTCTTCATCAACCGTAACCTCCGCAATACCATGCAAATACGAAGTATACATATCCCCCGTAGTGACCAGTAAACTAAACCAAAACCACAAATCAGCCCCACCCTCCGGGAGGTAACAATAATAATAAAGGCAGAAGGAAACAAACCTCCCATCCTCCAACAAAACCCTCCCAACCCGCCTCCCCTTCCCACCACCCATTCTCTTCTCATAAACATCCAAAACGATCACACCCCCCAAACTAACCGTTCCAACAACCGGCCAATAAGCCCCACCGTCTTCGTGCGGCAGGATACCCCGCCCGGGCAAGTACTCGTTAACAAGAACATGGTTGGGCGCTCCATGCGGCGCGCCGGCCCAGATATTGAGTTCCTGCATGCGCGGGATCATCGGTTCCGTCAGCCATTCCGGCAGCGGCGGGGAGGATGAGGGGGGGGTTATGAGGGTGTTTGTGGTGGCGGTTAGTGATGTCGGGTATGATTGGAGGCGACGGTGGCTCAAGTGCGTCCATTTCGGTTTGGGGGTTTGGAGGATCTTTTGGAGGAGGGTGGAGCTTGTCGGTTGGGGGAGGAAGGCAGGATAGTAGTGGAGGGATTGGGGGAGATTTGGGATCTGGGAGGTGAGGGGGGAGTCGGTCATTGTTGTTGTGGTGGTGGTGATGAGTGCCGGTATTGTGTGTGCCGTGCTGGTAGATCTTTTTAGTTAGTTCGTTTGTCGGCCGGGTTGCGCTTTGGTGCGAGAGCTTAAATTGACGTTACAATCCTGTTCCTAGTGCTGTACAGTACTGGCACAGCGCTGTATTAACTCCCAAGCTACTTTTGACATCCGCTGCTAGGCAAACTCAAGGGATTCTGTGTGAAAGACTCCCTGTTGATGGTACGGAATACCATTCGAAAGATCAAACAGTGCAGCCTCGACATGACATGTCACTCGCGCAAACTTCCCTCCGTTGGAGCCCGAGCATAGGACGGTCAGAAGCCCACATGCCAAAGGGTACGAAACAATGCGGAAGAAAGAGGCTTACCGGAACGAGTCCTGAACTGGCCGGCCACCACAGACCACAAATGGAGAAGAAACCCAGTCGGAAGCGAAAAATCGCTGAAAGGCAGGACTAGATATGATGTTTCCAACACCTGGAAGAGACGAAAGACCTCGAGTCATACAACAAACACGCTCCACACCCAACTCACTCACTACAAGTGCCCATAAATGGGCCGGCAATCGGAGGCCTAGGGGGAATTAGTCCAATAGCCGGGAAAAGGGTGAGGTTCATTTGTGTGCATTGACGGAGCTACGGTTTGAGGTTTGGTTGTGGGAATGGTTCATTGATGAGTGGGGGAGGATAGGATGTTTGTGTGGAGAGTTGGCCTGAATTAGCGGGGATCGTGAATTTTGCGAGGGTAGGTGGGGTTCTGGTGAAAGCTGATCTTTTGTTCGGGACTTTTTTCTTCCATCGAGCTGTTCAACGACTGCTTTAATATTTCGTTCCCACACAGAGAATACGGTTGCGGTATGATATTATATTGCGTCTCATGAACATACGACCCCCGACGATCCTACCCGCCCGCGCCGGCTTCCGAACAGATATTGCAGAGGCGCGCACTAAAACTCTCACTCAGAGCCAACGCATGACGACCCACGACCGGGGACATTAAAAAAAAAAAAAACTAGTAATTCCAACCACTCCAACCTCCAAAAACACAAAAACCCCGAAGAAAAAGATACCATAAGGGAAATGAAAGGGATGGAGGTCCACTTATATCCCGCCTGCAGCCACAAATACCCACTACCCTCGTCCAGCAAAGGTTTTCGAAACGACTCCACTGCCAACACACCTTCCTTCCCCACCTCACCCATCTCCCAACCCCTCCGAACGCTCCTCCGGGATCGCAACCAATCTCCCGGTCGTCAACGGCCTCTCGGGCGCGGGCGCGGAGACCTCGAACATAATCCCCAAATGCGACGGCGCAGTCTTCGGCTGCGGTGCGGCTGGTGGTGGTTGCGGTTGCAGTTGCGGTTGCGGTTGCGGTTCCGGATCTGGGCTTAGCTCACCACTTGTTGGTGATGCTGTTGGCGCTGCGCGGTGGTAAGCTGCGGGAAGAAGGTTGGTTGGATAGTTAGTTGACGATTTGTGAGGAAAATGGGGGAGGGGAAGGGGGGGGAGGAACTTTGGAGGAGAAGGAGGAGGGATCGGCGGAAGGATGGGGCGGATTGACGGGCCGTTGTTTCAGGGCCGTTGAGGAAGAAGGGGCTCATTTTTTCGTTCTTCTTCTTTTTCGTCCGTAGTGATTTGCGTAGAGTACTTGTGTTATTGAAAAGGGGTGTGGGGGGAGGGGAAGGGGAGGGGAGGGAGAGTTATGATGGTGCTATCGCTGGTCATGGATACGCACTCGAATAGTATTTCTTTTTACATCCTGGGGGTGGTGGTAGGCTTGTTGGCCTTCGGGGCAAGGGGTGCTTGGAAATGTGCATGATGCGGGACATCTGGAATCGGAGATCTTTGCGAAAGGAAATGCTTCTCGGCTTCGACCCCCCAAAGGATGTTCGATCACCACTCCGATGGGAATTACAACTTTATCAGATGATGGGGTAGATGATCCTCTACATATTGACAGAGGAATGACTCATGTTTTCATGGAGATACTGGGGTTTAGAGGCAAGCAGGTCAAACTTGGAGGAGCAGGTGAATGTCCAGGACAAGCTGATCACAGTACTATTGATTTCCTTGGCAAGATGGTTAATAGATACTCATCGAGGGATTAGCCTGCAATGAGGCCAAGCTTGGCAAATTAACGTACTATTACCGTACTGAGCCAGAATGAATGAATGTCTGCCTATTCCAGTCATGGAGCTCCCTCGCCATATTATTACGGAAGTTACACGGGTTGGTATCCTTAACTACCGGTATCGTATTCTATAAAAAGAAAGTGAAATAGTAACCCCCCCTCCAAGAAAACTAGATTAATGTCCGAAAACCTCCATATGACATGTCACGTCTCTGCCAGCGAGAACATGACTTCTTACAGCATTCTTGACATCCTCTGCCATCAGATCCGGGCCGCATACCATGACTAACGCTCTCTTATCTCTTCCTACAAGCTCTCCAACAGCTTCTCGAATATCCGGCCTTCCAGAGCTGAGGCTGAGCGGGTGAGCGCTCAGCGCATCCCGAGAACTACTCGCATCAAGGAGCTCCATCCCTTCTTCGTCTCTGCCCTCGCCATTTCCGTTATGCCCTCCCGTGATATAAACCTCGGCCAAAGCGACTCCATCCCGAGCCCACAGTAAGTCGCCCACTTTCGGAACAACCCACAGAAACCTGGCATCGACACCATTGGCTTTCAGAAACCGCGCCCAAGGAAGGGCAAACGTCCCGCCAATCCCTCCGGCAATCAGCAGCGCTCTATCCACGCCGCCAACCAACTCTCTGCTGACCCCATGCCCGCCATACCCACTTTCGATATTTACGGGAACTTTAGCCACCCTCACCAATTTCTTCGTGAAGTTTCCTCGCACTCTTGCTGCCATCCTCACGTGCCCGCTCCCAGACTCGACGACCGTGAAGGGGTTCTTTGCCCATAGTGATAGCGACGGGACGTTGAGTAGGATGTGCGATCCCGCGGGTGGGGGCGGTTTGTTCGGGAAGGAGACTAATATATCCAGGATTGAAGACCGAGGATCTAGAGATATAGTTGCGGTAGTGGACATTGTAGACATGACTCGGAGGACTCGGTCAACGATTAACATCCCGACAGTGGCGATTATGTATGGGCGGGAGTGGCTGACGTGAAAGTACAGAAGGGGTGGGAGGAGGCCTGATATTATGATGTGGAGGTTGTAGAAGACCGAGTAGAAGGACTCTCGGACGAGAGGGTAGGCAGAAGTGACCAGGATTGTCTTTAAAGGTTAGTTAAGAGGATACGACGGGAGGGAGGGGGATGAACCATGACGCCAAAAGCCCAGACACCGCAGAGGGCGTCCGCTTCCAGCAGGCGGGTCTTCATGCGGGAAGTGTCCCAGAAGAACTTCAAGTACAAACAAGCATGCACGGTCAGGAGTAGGTATATCTGGCTTCCCAGCCATTGGTGTACGACATTCACTGGTCCTTCATAACTGCAATTCGGGAAAACTAGTTTCAATGGACTATACTTCATCCCCAGAAGTACGTTCAGCGGAAGACTTGCCGCAGCTGCCATGCCGAATGCCCTTGTGAGGTGAATATAGTCTACAATTTTACCCATCAGTCGTTAATATACCAAAACTTTTATTCCGTAATCTAAGCTATGTAACATGATCCACCGCTCATATCCCCTAAATTCAACAAGTTCTGATGGTACTTACCATGATCAACATCCTTAACACAAAGCCATATCATCAACCCCATCCACGCCCAATAAACGAGAGCTGCGCCAACACTCTGCACCTTACCCCTCGTGGGGGTTTTACCTCCTAGGATACGGTACCTAAGACGCCATTCCAATCTCCTAACAGCCCCACGTCTCAGAAAATTAGCGTAGATATAGACATACACTAATGCCGTCAGCTGTGAGAACAGCACCGAGTATCCAATGAAATCGAGGGACTTCCGACGAAGTTCTCTCTGGGACTCGTTAAGGTCCTTGTATAGTAGTGGCCAAAGCATCATTGGTAGGATGAACCAAGCTTCGCAAATACCAGCTGAACTCAGGTTTGGGGGGAACGAATGAAAAGGGGGCGGTGGTTGTTATAATGCAGGAGAGCTGCCGGATGGGAGGAGGAAAGGAGAGGTCGAGGTTGTATCAGTACGGTAGGCTGCTGAGGATTAGTAAGGTTGTAGACGCGGTTAGTGACCTTTCCAGACTTTCAGGCAAGGATCAACTGCAGCTCAAGGCTGAGGGCCCGCGCCGTGCACGGGAGGGTATACGTGATGATCGTTGGCGAGAAAAAACGATATGTTAGTGGGGAAGCCGCCGTGGGGGGATGCATCTTGTGATAAATATTGGGCCTTTTTCCACCCCTCTTCTTGTCTAGCACTTTTCATCAATTCAACAACCACAATTAATCCCTCTCTGACAATGGCAGCTACCAAGACCCGTATCTGGCTCGATTGCGACCCTGGTGAGTTGTAGACTCCTGTGTAGTACTTGTATTCAAGTACCGGTAATTACAAATTGTTTTGAATATCCTGCTGATACATTGCTCCTTTAGGTCACGATGTATGTGACTGCACCTCTCACCCCACCACTTCTCAAAAGAAAAAGAAGAAAAAAACCCTCCTATTTTTTCTCTTTTTTTCTTTCAATGATCAATCTGCTGAAATTGACACTTAGGATGCATTCGCCATGATTCTCGCAGCCGAACACCCCAATCTCGAACTCGTTGGTGTAAGACTAAGGCAGCCTAGCAAAAGTCCTCTCTACAATTTCTAACAAGCCTAGATATCTACTGTCCATGGAAATTCCTCGATGGATAACGTAACTTCCAATGCACTCTCGCTACTCACCGCAATCGGAAAGACAGATGTCCCAGTGTACGCCGGATCCCGCAAACCTTTCATGCGCCCTGCCGTCCACGCTCCCGATATCCATGGAGACTCTGGTATCGATGGTACCACCTTGCTGCCCGAATCAAAGGTCGCTATGAAATCAGGAAATACCATTCTAGCCATATACGAGGCTATCATGAAAACGCCGTTTCAGACTTGTGCGGTCGTAGCCACCGGAACTCTGACCAACGTTGCGCTATTGTTCGCCGCTTTTCCAGACGTAGTGGGACATATCCGATGTGTTTCCATCATGGGAGGAGCTTTTGGTGGAAGAGAGGACGCGAGGGGAAACATTACCAAGTGGGCAGAATTCAATATCTATGTTAGTTGCCCTCCCAGGCATCTTTATCTACGACATCTCGCGCTAACTCACGCTTGGTAGTGCGATCCCGAGTCTGCCCGATCGATATTCTCCAACCCGGAGCTTTCCGGCCGGATAACACTAGTTCCTCTAGACTTGACACATACGGTCCTCGCGACCTCTGATGTCCTAACCGCGCTTATGACGACATCTCATCCCACCACCAAACTCCGCAAGATGCTTCACGACCTTCTCACTTTCTTCTCGAAGACGTATGCCGAGGTTTTCAACATCACCGCCGGCCCTCCACTTCACGATCCTCTGGCCGTCGCGGCCACCATCCCCGGCAATGAGATTGAGTGGGATATGGAGGAGGTTCAAGTTGAGGTTGTCTGCCATGGTGAACAAATTGGGCAGACAATCAAGACTCCAAGGGACCAAGCCCATGGGGGAGTCAGAGGAGAGGAACTAGGCAAAGGAGGTGCAGAGCCGGTGACTTGGGTTAAGGTCCCTCGAAGCGTTGCTGTTGACAGTTTCTGGAAGGTTATGATGTCATGCGTCGAGAAGGCCGACGGGAGATATAATTGGGAATAGTGGTATCCTGTACATAACAGATAACTTTTGCCTGCTGTGCTGAGCTGACTTATGATCAAAAATTAAAGAGAAACGTTAACGTCTCTACAAGAGTTTATTTTTGGAGGAAAAAGTATGATCAATGTCATCAGGAATCAAGATAGAGTGATTTCACATGATTTAGAGCTCCCCACTTCAGTTACCAAACGCTATGATACCCTGTGTTAAGCTTACACAAAATGGAAGGCAATAAAAACTATGATAACATAATCTCTTACGCGGCCTGTTTGTGAGTGGCCCTCCCTCTGGGTGACTATGATATAACGGCTCTCGTTCGCCCACTTCAAAGATTCAAACACTTGTAAACATTCTCTCTCGCCCCCACAAGTTTTCCCCTCTATCCTTCTTCTCTCTCCTCCATTTCGTGAGGCCCAAGGATCAAGAGCCGTCAGGGCTATGACCCCCATCACGTTTTCTCACTCGTGATCTCCACCCCGGCAACTCGGAGGATCACCCGGGCCCTAGAACCAGGCTTGATCCCCGTCGGAGGCATCCATTTTCGTAAACAAGATTCTGTATAGTACGAGTACTTGCTCCAGCATTAAAGTGCTTCCCATGCGGAGGAAAACCAAACTGGGTTGTATCATACTAACGTTATTGAATCACATGCACCTCACTCGAAACACGCTACTCCTATGTACTCGAGTATGATACCCTTCGTGGTCGGTTGATTTGGCCTGTGGATGGGATCAACGGTCCAGCTCTGTAGCACCTAGAGCACTATTCCAGGGTTCCCAAGACGAGTGGAGATGGTTAAAATATCATACCATCCGGTCTTTAGACGCCCTCACAATACAGCTAGCTATGATACCATACTGTAGTCCCAGAGCTACGGACATATATGTGACAGTCGACCAATTATAGGGGCTGGTAGAGAGAAAAACGGCGAGCCCCCACCCACTACTGCACATCACAAAACGGATGCCTGACCGCTTTGGGACGTCTAAGAGGTGTGAGAGGATGATGTGCTTGGATGATCCTCGTCGGCTGCGGCGGGGCGAGAGAGACCGGGGCAGGAGGTTTCCACGTTAAGTTTGTTCACGCCCGGATTACCAATCCAATCTACCCCCGACCACCTAACCTTGATACAGCTTGTCTCACGGGCAACGAGGGCGAATTCATGAGGTACGGTATGGCTGATAATTGGACGACCTGTGGCAAAGATAATCCCGCACAGTTCTCACCGTCCGAGGTACTTGTCCCAGGCAAAGAAATTCTTTGGAAATACGAGTCATGAGTTCGTGATACGTATTTTTTTTTTCTTTTTCTCTTTCCACATATGTTGCGAATCCCCGTTTACGGACATTTCTTGCCTGGGACAAATAGCGGAGCTTAAAGGTTGCTTTTGGCCACTAGCCAGCTCCTACTGGGATTCGAAAGACTATCTTCACACAAGGGAATTTATCGACGTCTCTACTCGCTGGAGGGCAGTTCAGATCACGAAAGTACTCTGCATCCAGCGCTCTTGAAGTCCAGTATTGTGGAGCCAGGATTCGAGCCTAGGATGTGGCGCAAGGTCTTTCTGGGCCGCAGCTACCAGGTAAACCCTTTCAACTCCTCAGGTAACGCGGACAAAAGGCGTAGCATTTTCCTGAACTCCAGCCAACTATGACATGCTATGAGGTTGCGCCTCCTCCCCCCGACTGACTGATAAACATTCTTGAAAGAATCTGGGGCGAGCCCGTAGGAGCCCATTATCTCTGAGAACTGATGGTAACTCGCGTTTCGGGGTTTTCTGGATCGCCAACAGAGGCAAACATCACGGCCCGGCGCTCCGTACCACCCCAGTATCATAGTAGCATCCTTTGAGTTTATGGTTTCTGCTACACAGATATAAACAAGTATCATTGTCCACCAAATCTAGCTATCACAAAGTGAGGTTAGTCCAGTTCAAACGGCCTCATCTCGAATATAAAGTTTCCCCCGAGTACATAATATGATGCAAGGGTGGCATTTATCATTCCCACAGCGTGATCAGACATTCCAGTCGATTAATCGCACACAGATCAACAGAGAAGAAGCTCAGGCATGCCGGGTACTACTGTAAGCCCAAGATCGCCGTACATCCCCTCCTCCCCTCCGAATTTTGAATTGCCTCGCTAAGGCCCTCCGATACACCAGAAACCCCCTCTTCACAAGTGCAATACCGGTGCTGTACTGTACAAGTATTCGCCGACACCAATCTGATACCGGTATGCATATGTTAAGTTTGTGTTTTTAGCTCTTTTTCGCCTACACAACGCCCCCCATGTCGATCCAGCCGACATAAAACCGCTTTATTACTCGAGCACAACCAAGTGTACTAGTATACTACACGAGTGGGAGAGACTAAGTTACGAATGGGTACAAAGGTCATCCAAGGAACAGAGAAGGTGGGTCGACGTCCAGAAGGCCTACCGGTACGGTTACAGGTAAGGGTTATTATCGTATCAATGAATAACCTTTTTTTGTTTTTTTTGTTTTTTTGTTTTTTCTTTTCTTCAACTTATTCTAATTTAGGCTAATTACAATAACTCCCGTTTCATCTTGCACTCACTCTCCTCATCATGTGGTTAATAGGATTACAATAGACATGAAGGAAGAGAAGAAGGATAATTACCGAGTTGCCCTATTCGAGTGATTCTGGGTGAGCTCTCTCCTCCTCCTCCTCCCTCCCATGTTCCTTAGTTATCCGCAGTTAAAGCACCCGCCAGCCCTCGCGAGGAGGAGAGAGAGAGGTATTATAGCCCTTTTTCCTTTCCCGTCCATCGCTTCCATTCCTCCCTCGAGGGTTACTGCCGTTGCTGTGTCCCACCATTTGATTATATATGCAACTGCAATATTACGACACGCGTACCTTGCGCAGGTACAAGTACAGTCGCACCTCGGTATCCCGGACCGCACTCAACCGGATACCGCGCTGAACCGGACGAAATCCGTGGCAGCTCCGGACTGCCATATAATTCACCCCGCTGAACCGGAAGCAAGCAAGTTTCGGATTCGGATGAGATCTTGGGGCATACACCCCCTGGTCTTCATAGAAAGTTGATCTGCTGAGCTGGATTCTTTCTGAGCTGGCAGATATACTAAGCCTGAAAAGGAAAGAAGGCGGGGTTTAGAATCAGAAGAGGAAGAAGAAGGAACATTGTGATGATGGAAGGCGAGAAAGGTAGACTTGGAAAAAGGGTAGCAGTGGGATGATTCTGAGGTATATCTATAGGAAAGACAGGTAGAGTAAGTAGTTATTGAAGAGAAACTAGAAGCTATCCTATGTTGCCTTTGGTCAATTGTCATAATGCCTACAACAAAGTCAACCAGAAAAGCCAGATTGACAGCCCTATAAAAGTATGAGCTGTGCTGCCTTCAGGTACAGCATCCTCAAATAAAGCTTGCAGACTTTGCACTTCTTGATGATTGCCCTCAAAGTCCTGATAGCTAGCTGTTGACTACTTCTAGCCTTTCTGATCATTTGAAAGAGTGGAGAGAGAAGATTAAAAAAGAACCCCCAGCTGGTAGAGTAATACCTTCAACTGTAGATTTATTGCAATACTAATTAAAATATCTAAGTCTCTCGTTAATAGGAACAGGGAAAAAACAAAAGGAAAGAGGAAGCAGCTACCCGTTTCTAGAGCACTTTCTAGCTTTGTAGATTGACGCTGCCGAATATGCGAAGGTTCCGGTTACCAATGATAGTATTCGGGCACAAGCCAATATGATTAAGGAAGAGCTAGAAAGAGTAGATGTGAATAAACCATATGATGAGTTTGAAATGTCAAATGGTTAACTTCAGCACTTTAAAATCGCCACAATATTGGAAGACTACAGACACATGGGCAATCTTGAGATGTTAATCAGTCTGCTTTGCCAGCCTAGAGGCAGCATTTTATGTAGTAATTGGTCAGGTTTTCTGCTACAGACCACTATAATTGTGATAAAAGTGGCCTGGTTTTTAACAAGCAGCCATAGTCTTCCAATGTGCACTTAGATAAAGGTAAACAGTTAAGAGAAGGAAAAGATGATAAGGTCAGGATAACTACATTTCATGTGATTAATGAAACAGGTACAGATAAGAGGAAGATTTAGGTTATTATGGATGCGGAAAGACATCATGCTTTTTGACAAAATTGTATTAATCCAGCCAATCTTCCAGTATAACAATCCCTCCTTGGCTAGTTAGTTCTTGGCGACAGGGAACGATACTTCTCTTCTTCTTCTGTTTCTTTTCTTAATCTTACGATAGCACTAGGCCTCTGCCTACATTACAGATAGTACAAGACCACTGTCTTATATCAGGAATACCTATCATAAGCTTTCTCTAACTCTTCTTCGTGAAGAACCTTCCTTGGCATAACGATAATGTTGCAATAAAGATAAAGATTGTAAAGGTATTTTATATTCGTTAAAGTAATAAGTAGGAAAAGTACTTAGAATTCAATCTAATTTTATTTAAACTCGTACCGCCAACACTGGTATACGACAAGCCCCCACTGGCACAGGGATACTGCTAACTGGTATACCACTAATTCTAAGCTAACCAAGTCTACGGTCCCGCACCTACCATCCCCGAGTCATGCCCGCATGAGAACTAATTACAAGACCATCAAACAACCCAGCGCCCTCCCCGGTCCAAGTCCGTAGCCCCTCTGGTATGAAGCCAACCAGCACTAAGTGTAGCCAAAGCCAAGCAAAAGACTGACCCAACCAGGTTCCTCGTCCAACAAATTAAAATCACTACCACCTGGTCTAAATACCATCCCGCAACACCTCCACCACAGTAGAAAACCAACAAAACCAAAACAAATATAAACTACAGGTGACACAATGGCAGAGAGGAGGTGACCAACATGTCCACCACTCGCATCCGCATGCCCGGCCATCGACCCTATGAACCCACTTTGCCAAGTGCCTCCGAAGAGAGTAATGGTGAGGAGGACCTGTACCCGCTGCCTGTCCCCCAAAAAAACAAAATCCATAAACAAAGGAAATACATAGAGGTGGTGACAGACCGAAATGGTCAGTGAGGCCTATCTCCCACCCTTGGTGCCTTGCCCCCGCCAGTCGTGCTCATTGCCAAACCAAAGAAACCAAACAAAC